GTACTGATTGAATCGGCATAAAACAGGTCTGTCCTCAATATGGTGCTTTGCACTGAGCAACTCTATTAAGTCCTGTGGCTTTCAGGCTGCTTAGTAGAGGTGGTATTAAGTTTCAGGGTAACCAGGTATCTTTCTTTGCTTTGTCTTAAAGATAAACGTTCCCTTTCTCCAGAGAAGACTTTTTGTGAAGCTAAACTGAGCTGTTGCAACCACTGTTCAAGAAACTCTTCAGACCTGGGGGTAGTTTCAAGTATAGCTCAAGAATTGTGGCCTTACAACAGAAAGCTTTACAACATCTGATGCAAAGCAGTCAGAATTGCAGATCCACATCTTGATACCTCCTCAGCAAATGACTCGTTAGCTTTAGCATGTTCAAGAGAAGTGCAAGATTGCTTTAGGAAAATGCTCTTGCTCATACCTGCTGGAACTGTCAGTCTTTGTTGCACTTTCATATTTATGTTGCTGGTCCTTCCAGTCCATGGCACTCGTATAAATGACCATGAGTTTGCTGAAAGGCCTGAGCATGTGCTAAAGGAGAAACACTAAAACTGGTGGAGTCTAACTCACAGTACAGCAATAAATGCTGAAGTGCTTTAGGAATCCCAGGAGGGAGAGAAACTTTCCTGGGGCTTAAGGGGCCTGGTAACTGCTGTGGGAGAGTCAGTAACCCTGCCAAGTGTAGAATGTGCTGCACCTCTAGACACTAAACCTGGGCCCATTTTCAGCAGGATTGCTGGGGAGTGGGAGTGTATGTGGAGGCTTCCTATTAGGAGTAAGCTGCAGTGTTTTCATCTGGGCTGGTTGTACTCTCTTAAACATGCTGAATCTGTGGAAACCTACCACCACATAGTCTAGGTAAACAGGAAAGTACTTGACTGGTAGACAGCTTGTGATTTGGTGGGCAGAGGCTTCAGTTAGAAATAAATGGGTTGTTAAGCAAAACTACATGCCATGCTAAGGCTGTTTTTATTTCAAGAGATAAAGCTAGTGTAGACTCAATTCATCATTCCTCATCTTTACTCCATGAATTGGTGTGCATTTTTTAATGACTGTTATCTGCAGTGAACAGTATGGACAGTGATGCTGTGTTGCCCTGTTTGGAGCAGTGACTTGTTGGTCTTAAAGAGCAAGATGAGATGATGAACTAGGCTGCTCCTGTTACAGGAAACTTTCTCAGTTTTTCTCAAGCTTGTACAAGGAGATGGTAGGAGAGGCTGTAATTGCTGACATTTGTATGATTAATTTCACATCAAGTCTCACTTGCTCTGCACTTTGATCTTCCAATATGCCTATATTGTAACTGGAATCACCCCTGTACCACTAGGGAGGAGCAATGGATGAAATACAAACTTGCCTCACTGTTTGATGTCTGCTGCTGACATGTTTCAACAGATTGCTCTGGGTAGCACAGCTGGTCTCTAACACAGTTCCTAATGCAAATGGTGCACCTCTGGCATAACATTGTAGGTGAATGAGGGAAAATAGTGGTGTCAGTTAATGTTAGCTGCAGTAATTGTTGGTGTCAGTTAACTACAATCTACAGTTTGGGGGTTTTTGAGTGAAAGAGATGATGGAAAACCTTATACTACTGGTACTTCAGGGTGCCACTGGTTGCAGATCTCTAGCAGTGAAAGAATGATGCAGAGAAAGTGCATTTGGTGAAAGAAGTCTTGGCTGTAATCCCATGGCAACATGTTGTTTTCCTTCTTGGTTTGGAGCTGAAGTGAAGTGGAAGGGTAAGGGTGGGTTCAGAATGCTGAAAGACAGTGCAGGGGAGGGGTTTTCCAAGGCCACAGCCTATGGGCTTCAGCCTGATGGGAGAACTGCTCAGCATGTAATTGCCAAAGCATTTAAACATCACTTTACCAGTGGCTTCTCTGATGTAAGGGCAAGGGAGCAGGGAGCTCAGTGCTAACAGATTAAGTCAGCTTTTTACCGATGGAAAATGTGGATCTGGTGAAAATTCAGTTTAACTGAATGGCAAATTAAGGCTGGGTAGTTGCTCTTCTAAAAAACAGGATATTGATTATAACTGTAAAACTGTGGGAAAGATCTGGGAAACCATCTGAGTGCTCCTGGTTTGCTGTTTACAGCCAGTACTGTCCCAGCTTACTGAAGTCTGAAAGGAAAGTAGGTTATTGTTAAATGTACAGCCTGAGGTGTTTGTTAAAGTAACTAAATTCAGCAAATTTGATCCTTTTGAAGTGCCTTTGAGACAGTTTCCTTCCAGCCAACTCTAAATAGCTTTCTGCCAGAGCTAAAGAGGGAAAGGTCACAACTTGAACCAAAACCCACGTTAGTTCTTTTCTAGTTCAGCTGAGGAGTTGACCCCACCATACAACTGGTGGGGCTCAATCCCTCACACACTCTGCCTAGTGTTAGTCTGAGCTCTCAGACCACTGAGATTTTTTGGGAGTTTTGCTGGCAATGCTCCACTACAGGGTACAAATGTGAATGAGGCACTTGGTAATGTAGTGGTGGTCAACACATTTCTAACTCTAAACAACTGCTCTTCCCTTTTTGTAGCATAATACAGTTGTTACCAAACCCCCCACCCCTCTTACCCCTGCTTTTAGTGGTCTCTATTAACTCAAGTCTGCCAAGCATTGAACAAAAGGTTAGGTGGAACATCAGTTTGTGTCCCTGGAAGTGCTGTCACACTTGGAGGCTTCAGGCACTTCAGCAGGGTTGTGGAAAGTCGGGTGGTTCATGCTGTAGCTTTTTGTTCTGAGACTGGATTCCTTTTGGTTGCAGTCACCCAGCACTTACACAAGCAAATGCCATGGTCCAGCACTCTTACACAAGCAAACCGTGGTCTGGCTGAAATATTTTGTCTGTAAAAGGTGCAGTCACTGTTTCACACCACTGAGTGGAGTAAGAATGTTGCTGTTGAAGGCACTAACAGAGCAGAGTTAAGTTGCTGGCTAAAAGCTGACAGATGCCTTAATGACTTCCTGTGCTGGAGATAACAGCTTGTCCAACTGCTCATGTAGTGCTTATAAACTAACATGTAACAGTATGGGAGGCCAAGGCTGGATGGTTTTGTAGATCAAATGTTAATAGGCAAGTCCTCTTTTTTCTGTAACCAGCAGAGGTGGTCACTGCAGCAAACTCATCTCTAGAAAAATCAAAGCTTGTATGAGTGACAGAAATAACTGAATCTTCTAATACCCTCTGTGAAATAGAAAAGGAAGTCTTAGAACAATGGCATTTTATCTGCAATGTTTGTCTGGAGTTGTTGTAAAAATGTATTTTTCCAATATGCATTACTTCGTTGTGTAATGATTCTACTTGTAATAAAATGCAGAACTAGATGATGCATTGTGAGGTGAGACCTTGCTAAGGAAGTATCTGCTCCTGTAGAGACAGCTGCCCCTCTACAAGCTCATCCTGACAAACCACGAAGAAAACCAGGGATACAACACCCAATTGGGCACAACAACTTTATTCTTTGTTCTGAAATTAGTCCAGGTATTCATTTTCATGTTGTGGAACTGCTACAACTGTTCTTTTGGCTGTCAAGGTCTGGTGTTCTAGTTTGTACCATGTAGTCATCTTGAATGCCTTATACTAGACTTACCTATAATCAGTCTTGTGAAACAAAGCCGAGCTCCCCACGGGCCAGAGCTGCTTCCTGGAGTTCAGCACTCCCAGTTCCTCACCCTGGGTGCACTCAGCTGTGTGCTGGAGGCAGCTCAGCCCCCTGGGAGAGCAGAGAGCTGCTGCAGCTTCACTTCAGGAAAAGGAAAACTTCAGTGCAATAGCAAACCCGGGCAAGACTTCTGGGTGAGATTGTGATGCATTAGTCTTTTATTAATAAAACTTACTGAAGTACAGATGAATGGTGAGCTTTATTAGAGCACTGTCTGTGGTGACTTGAGCCCTCTGTGGCTATCACTGTTTTCTTCCCACCCTTTTCCACCCTGGGAGAATCCAGCTGAGCTGCTCAGTTGGAGATCCAGGCACAGGACAGTCTTGGAGCACTTCAGGTCAGTGAGGGTGTCTCCTTGTTTGCTTTAATAGATGACTTATTCCTAGTGCAAGGCAAACTTCCTCCCCAGTGTTCCCAAAGCCTAAACTGAGGAATAAGCTGTGAACTGGTTTTCAACCAACTTTAACTTAAACCAACACCTTCCTGCCCTGCCTTTTTGCAGCAGTTTAATTTTTGTGTAGCTCTTGCAATCAAAGCCATCCCCTCAGCACTATTTGCATAGTGATTGAGTGTTCCAGCAAGATGAAACTTGCTTAGAAGTTCAAGCTGGTCCACCTTCACTATGACTGGTTTGCCCACACAAACTACTTCTTACAGCATTTATTAGTCTGGAATTTGCTGCAACTTTTAAATAGCTTTAAAAAGCTCTTTTAAAGGCACTTGCCAATCACTGGGGGGGGATGGTTTCACTACTTTAAATTCAATTTCTTTTTAAAGTGGTGGTGTCTAAATGTGGCAAAGGCCACAGTTGTGGAGGCAGTGCAGTGCTGCTCTGCAGCTCTTTCCTGCTCCTTTTACACAGCCTGATCTTCAGCACTGTGTGAAATGAGTTCTCACTCCACCCCCAGAGCTGGCTCAAGCCCAGGGCTGAGGTTTGGCTCTGCCACACATCCCGGTGCCCCCTGAGTGACACGAGCTGGCACAGCAGGGCAATGCCTGCAAGGGCTTCTCTTCAGGATGATGATAGACAAAAAAACCCCAAAAGTAAAACCACAGCCCCTGTGCCCCACCCCTGTTAGAAGCATGTGCATGTTGAAGTTTGTGTGGCTCCATCCCTGGCAGCTGTAGCATCCTCTGAGCTGTTATCAGGGAGAAGTGCTGTAATGTGTGCTGCTGCAAGGGACAGAATGGTGCTTCCTGTAAACTTACTAATTAACTAACTCATCACTTAGCTTTTGGGCCTCTCTTTGGAGGTGGTGGTAGCTAAAAATCAGTTTATAAACACTTTCCAGCTGCTTACACATAGATGGCAGCTGCCTGAAGGAGAACTGACCACAACCTGTGCCACCACTGGACCCTGATCTGCATGTCTCTCTCAAAGCCCAGCTCCACCAAAACTGATTTTAACAGCAGATTCCACTAAAACCAGCAACTGCAGCCTGAGGTTTGCAGTGCAGGTATTGTTTCTTCCCTTTTAACCCCACCCAGAGAGGGTAATGACCTGCCCTGCATTTCTGGGAGTCACTCACACTGCTGAATTCTGCCAGCTGTGACACAGTAAATATGGATTTTAACAGTGCTGGGTCTTTTAAGGGCACATCTAGCTCAGGTTATAGTCTGATAGCACAGACCAGATGGGAAGGAAGTCTTATACCAGAATGGAAACAGGAGGCAGATTACAGTAGGATGGTTCTGTTGCCACCCAGGCAACAAAAAGAAAGCTATTTAAAACTCCTCCTTCCTGATCAGAACAGTTTGAAAGTGGTGAATCACAGACCAGGACAGTGAGGTTAATATCAAACAATCCTCACAGGTGGCTTCCATATCTGGGCACAGTATCTAATGCAAACACTGAGTGAGGAAATGCAGCTCTGGCCTTTGCCTTCTCCAAGAATTTGATAAAGCTTGTGTGCAACTAAACTGTGTTTAGTTCCTGATACTGTGGACCTTAATTGCAGAAGAAATTCAGGGTTCTCCCTGCTACCTTTAAACTCTGGGGAGTGAGTCAGGTGCCTGGGAAGGAGCATCAGCATTGCCTGACCTCAGCAGGACCTGGGGACTGCACGACCTGTGGCAGTGAGGCTGCAGCAGTTCCTGTGCTCACCGACCTCGCTGCCTTACACCACAGCACACTAACATCCAGTTCCTGAGTGCACAAGAAGCAGTTCTAAAACACAATTCAGGCTCTGCATCTTACAGTTTGTTCCCAGATACAAAAATATTTCCCACAGAAATAAAGAAAGCATCCTGTTACTTAATTTTTTAGCCACTAACCTGGCTGAAGTGTTTCCTCCATCTCCATATATTAAAAAGCATCACAAATACCATGAGAATGTTACTGCTGCCTTTGCATGGACGGGTGGAAGGGATGGAGCTGGAGCTGCAGGGTTTCACTGCAGGGCCCTCCCTGCCCTGGCTCAGCCCGTGAGGAGGACACACTGCTCGGCCAGGGGATGGCAGCCCTCGTACTGCTGCAGCTGCGGGTGATCCAGGTCGCCTCTGTCGCTGTGCTGGGCGGAGGCAGGCTGGCCCCAGGGCGGCCCCGAGCTCCTCACGCACACGCAGTGAGAGCCCTGCGAGCCGGGGCGGTGCAGCCGCCGCGGGACCCCGGCCCAGGCTCGGGGCACGCCCCCGCTGGCAATGGAAATGAAAAGCAGTTACAACTCACAGCCGGGAAAATGCTTCCAGTCAACAGAGAATCCTTAGGAAAAAAACTGAGGTAATCTGGGGAAACTAGAACTAACACTGAGGTAGGTTTTGCTTCCACAGAATTCACAGAATGACTGGGTTGGAAGAGACCTGAAAGATCGTCGAGTCCAACCCATGTCCTAACACCACCTCAACTGCACCCTGGCACCCAGTGCCACATGCAGGCTTTGTTTCAACAGCCACAATCCCACAGCCTTTGCCTTTTTATTGGCTGTGCTTCAGAAATCTGTGGCCTGGACCTGGTTTCATCACTGCTCCCTTCTGAGAGTGACCAACTCCTGCACTCCGTGCTTCCATTGCTGGAAGAGGAATCACAGCCTTCTGGAGCACAGCAAAATGCCTTTTCTGGAGGTACCTAAATGCTCACAGGTGACCACACATCTTCACAGAACCACAGTGGCTTGGGTTGGAAGGGACATTAAAGACCATCCAGTGCAGCCCCTGCTATGGGCAGGGCCACCTTCCAATAGACCAGGCTCTTCCAGGCCTTCTGTGCCTTGACTAAACAATGATTTTGAGAACTGGGGCAGAAGAAAAAGAACTTCCCCAGGTAATTCATCATGTCTCTTCATGTCTAAGTGTCTCTTTATGGGCCAGATCCTGCCTCTTCCCCAATCACTGCAGCTTTTAAGCCTCTAACACAAGCCACTGCCACATCACACCTGGTCCCAAGGCTGTCCCCAAGCTCAGTGACACACAGGAGCAGATCCCTGGGGCACACAGAGCTGCTGCTGGGCTGACATGAAGCCCAAGCACTTTGCAGTGTGGTCTGTGAAATTATTTCATCTTCAAACAAAACAGTCCCTAAGCTGAGAGATAGCTACTAACAGGAAAGTAGGAAATGATTATTCAAAGCTTAACCTCATTTTTATGTGGTTTAAGTGAAAATGTTGTGGTATCAGCTTGTGAGGCAGGCTGTGAAACTGTCTGAAAAGCACAGGTTAATGCTTGTATTCCTGACAGGTGACAGAACCTGTTTGAATGCCAGTCCTGCTGGGATTTCTGTCCTGTTTTGCTGAGAACAGGTGACCACATGCACATGTGGTAAATTCTTTGACTCCAGTGTGACAAAAGAGACTCAGCCTGGAGAAAAGGGGGCTCAGGGGGAATCTTCTCACTCTCTACAACTCCCTGACAGGAGGGTGGAGCCAGGTGAAGGTCAGGCTCTGCTCCCAGGGAACAAGGGACAGGGTAAGAGGAAACAGCCTCAAGTTGTGCCAGGGGAGGTTTAGGTTGGATACTGAGGAAAATTTCTTTATGGAAAGGGTGGCCAGGGCAGTGGTGGAGGCCCCATGCCTGCAGGGATTTAAAAGCTGTGTGGATGTGGCACCTGGGGGCACAGGTTAGTGCTGGCCTTGGCAGTGCTGGGGGAATGCTTGGACTGGGTGGTCTCACAGGGCTTTTCCCACCTGAACAGCCCTGGGAATTCAGGCAGGGACAGAGCCCATGCCTGGCTTATTCCAGCCCTGGCAGCCCCACTGCCAGTCCCAGAGCTCAGCTACCCACAGAGTGTGGTGGCTGCAGGAGCCAGGACATCTTCCTACATCCCTCCTGCCAGGAGAGGCAGGAACAAAGCACAGGGCACCCAAAAAAAGCCTCTGCTCCAGAGGGGACAGGCTTACCTCTCTCTGGAGCACCAGAAGCGGGTGCCTTTAGCAGAGCTCCATTCAGAGTTGCAGGGTGGGAACTGCTGCTTCTTCTGGTCACTTTCTGCTTGCAGTTTGAGAGCTTCCTCAATGGCAGCCTCCACCTCCCTCAGGGCTGCTGTCGGTGCCCCATTTTCATCATAGAATCTGCCCACCAGCTTCCCTGGGAGAGGAGATCAATTAGGACCACAGTTTGCTGACCACAGACCTGTTTCCAGGCAAGGAAAATGCATAGTTCTGGTGGGGTTTTATTTTTAATTTGCTACTTAAAGACAAAAATAAAAGGAGATGTCACCATGGCCCAATTTTAGAACTGAACTGGGCTTACATCCCTTCAATGCTTGGATCACACAGCAATTTACCCATTTGAATAAACCCATGCAGGACAAGCTTAGGCCCAGACTCATTACAGAGCTGAAAACCAAAGCCAGTTTCAGCTGCACAACCCAGAAGCCATTCCCCAAAACAGTTTCCCTGCCCTGCTGCCCCTACATTCTCCTGAATCCTGGTGATTTCAGGCTGGCTCCCTGCTCAGTGCTCGGCAGAGACAATCCAAGCAGGACAGCATTGAGGTGGGAAAACAATTCAGCTTTCCCTTGGAGGGAAGCAGACCCTGGAGACCTGGCTTGGCTGCAGCTGGTCCCACACAGGGACCTGCACCCCGCCCCTGTGTGAGCCCACCCAGCCCCACACGTACCCACGGGCTCGTAGTTGTTGCTGTAGAAGCTCAGCCAGCTGTGGATGGAGAGCAGCTCTGCGGGGGACAGCCCCGACACCGTGTCCACCAGCCCCGCCGCGCTGAAGTCGCCGCTGGCAAACGCTCGGGTGGCATCTCTGCCTGAGGGCAGGGGGAGCACAGGGGGGAGAGCTCAGGGGAGTGAGAGACCAACAGGGGGGAGAGCCCAGCCAAAGAGTGAACCCCTCAGCCAAGGAGCGAACCCCGCCCTGGATGAATCCCTCAGCCATGGATGAATCCCTCAGCCATGGAGAGAATCCCTCAGCCATGGAGTGAACCCCTCAGCCATGGAGTGAACCCCTCAGCCATGGAGAGAATCCCCCAGCCATGGATGAACCCCTCAGCCATGGAGAGAATCCCTCAGCCATGGAGAGAATCCCTCAGCCATGGAGAGAATCCCTCAGCCATGGATGAACACCCCAGCCATGGAGTGAACTCCCCAGCTATGGAGTGAACCCCTCAGCCAAGGGTGAATGCCCCAGCCATGGATGAATCCCTCAGCCATGGAGTGAATTGTTCAGCCACGGAATGAATCGCTCAGCCATGGAGTGAACCTCCCAACCATAGATGAATCCCTCAGCCAAGGAGTGAACCCCTCAGCCAAGGATGAACCCCTCAGCCATGGATGAACACTCCAGCCAAGGAGTGAACCCCTCAGCCATGGCCCCCCAGCCATGTATGAGCCCCTCAGCCAAGGAGAGAATCCCTCAGCCATGGAGTGAACCCCTCAGCCATGGACCCCCAGCCATGTATGAGCCCCTCAGCCAAGGAGAGAATCCCTCAGCCATGGAGTGAACCCTTCAGACATGGATGAACACCCCAGCCATGGAGTGAACCCCTCAGCCATGGACCCCCAGCCATGTATGAGCCCCTCAGCCAAGGAGAGAATCCCTCAGCCATAGAGTGAACCCCTCAGCCAGGGGTGCAATGGAGTGAACCCCTCAGCCAAGGAGAGAATCCCTCAGCCAAGGAGTGAACCCCTCAGCCAGGGGTGCGACCCCAGCCCTGGAATACAGCCCAGCCGTGGGGTGGCCAAACAGGGCCTGAGCTCTCCCTCCTCCCAGCCAGGGGTGCATTCCCCGGCCAGGGTGACACCGGTGACACACACCCCAGGTGATTATTCCCTCCCCAGCCCGGCCCACACCCAGCCCCCTCCCCGCTCATTGCCGGTACCTGCGAACCCGCTGTACGCGCCGCCGGGCCCATAGTGCTTGCGGCCCCGCTCCACATCGAAGACCCGTCCGAGCAGGGCGAGGTAGAGCCCGGGCTCGCCCGGCGCCCCGCGGTAGCGGCGCAGCTCGGCGGCGCTGAGCAGGCGGGCGCGGGGCTCGAACCCGCGGCGCAGCAGGCAGGCGGCGGCCAGGCCCAGCAGCGCCGCGGCCGCGCCCCGCCACATCGCGCCGCCTGCGCGACACTGTCCCCGCCGCACGGCCGCGGCACGGCCGGCCCCAGGGCGCGCTTTACGGCAGCGTGGCGCGGAGCGCTCTGGGCTGAGGGCGGCGGAAAATAAATCATCGCTGGCAGCGGAAAAATCACCGCTGGCAGCGGAAAAATCATCGCTGGCACCGGAAAAATCACCGCTGGCAGCGGAAAAATCATCGCTGGCACCCGCCCGGGCCGCTGGGAACCCGTCCAGCCCTGTCTCGAACGGGCCGGCCACAGCTGCTCTCTGCCCGCGCCTCAGCACCCTGTGAGTATGAGGTTGTCCATAAGGACAGCCACAGAATCTCTTGTTTTTAGTGGAGATCGCCCAGTGTGAGCCCTGCCAGGGCAGCGCCACCTGCAGCCGGTGACACAGCGAGGGCCAAGGGGGTTTGTTTTCTCCGCGCCCTCCCTGCACCAGTCTGTCCTGTTATGAATGAAAAGTTATCTGTTTTGTTTTTTTTTTTTTAAGGTTGCGGAGTTAAAACAAGCTAGGCAAGTGCTGTTAAGTTAGCTTCATTGTTAAGAGTTCTTCTTCCGTTACCTGTTGATGGTCGGTGATTAACCATTGCCCCCCTGATGCTTCCCAGAGATCCTGCAGGTACCAGGAGAACGGGAGTGCCATCAGAGCTGGTATGCAGATGAGAAATGCGTTGCACCCCGAATTTTTACTGTTTTTCCCAGGAAAACCCCTAAAAATCACGAGCCAACAAGTGACTTAAGTGACATCTAAGGATGGGAGCATTGTCCCGTACCTGCTTGGACCTTTTTGTTTCTCACCCTAACCTGAAAAGATGCTGATTAAAGAGACACCCTGGGGTTTTAAACAAACAAGTGAAGGACTCCATGACTCTCCCTTGAGGACAGAGTCCCCAGCTCTGTCTGCAGACCAGTGGACAAAGCTGCATCATCCTCCTTCTTCGTGCCACGCCTGGGAGCAACAGCGGTGTGGGCGCAACCCGTCGATTTCTCCCCACCTGAGCTGATTCTTCTCAATAAAGGCATTAAAAAAGGAGAAAGATCTCCTGCCCGTTTATTTCACGTGCTCTGCCACACTCACGTCGAGCAGTTTTCCTCACGCTGAGCTGGAATTTGTCTGGTTTTGCCCACGGCCACTGCTCTTCACCCCCTCACGGGCCCTGGTGTGAAAATCGCCAGCCACTTGGCTTTGGAATTCCAAAAGTTTAATGGTAATAAAATGGTTATAAAAATAGTAATAGAATTAGAGTAATAACATTTGAACATTTGAGGTTAGGACAATATGAGACAATAAAAACAAAGAGACACGGACGTCTGGGTACCTTTTTCTGGGCAACACAAGCCTGAAAAAGGATCCCCGTTAACAGAGGATCAACCCTTGAAAACAATCACCTGTTGCACATTCATACACCTCAGAGATGATGCATAAATCCCATGCAAACACAGGATTCTGGTCATTCTTTCACACTAACATAATACAATAATTATTTCAATAATAATTAGTTAATTATTGCGAAAATCCAATCACAAAATAAAGATTTTTCACACTAACATAATACAATAATTATTTCAATAATAATTAGTTAATTATTGCGAAAATCCAATCACAAAATAAAGATTTTTCACACTAACATAATACAATAATTATTTCAATAATAATTAGTTAATTATTGCGAAAAGCAAATCACAAAATACACATTTTTTACACTAACATAATACAATAATTATTTCAACACTTGCGAAAAGCCAATCATAAAATACACGTTTTTCACCCTTGGAGACACGTCTATGAACTAAGGGATCCCTGTTCCCGGTCCCGGTGTGTCCCGGGCTGTGTCCCGGGCTCTGACCCGGCTCGGCACGGCTCGGCCCGGGCTTTGCGGCAGTGCCGTGCCGCCTCGGTGCGCCGTGCCGCTTTACGGCGGTGTGGCGCGGCGGCGCTTTGCGGCGGTGTGGCGGCCCCGCGCTGACAGGTGCGGCGGGCGGGAAGTTGCTGACTAAGGCGGGCCGGGCCGGGCGGGGACCGGCGGCAGCGGCGGCGGCTGCGAGGGGCTCCCGAGCGGCTCATGGGGACGGCGGCGAGCCACAGCAGCGAGGAGGAGGAGGAGGGCGCCGAAGAGGGCATGGAGGGGGCGGGGGGCGCGCCCCAAGCCGGCGCGGCCGCCCCGGCGCTGCCGCCGGCCGAGGTGCTGCTGGAGCAGGCCCGGCTGCGGGAGGCCACGGCGCGGCTGCGGGAGGCGGCCCTGCCCGAGCCGCTCGTGTCGCGGCACCACAGCGCGCTGGTGCGCTGGCTGGAGGAGCGGCTGAGCCGCGGCGACGAGGCCGTGAGCCTGGAGCAGTTCTGCGAGGTGCTGGAGAGCGTGTCCCGGCTGGCGGCCGGCTCCCGCGGCGAGAGCGAGGAGGTGAGGCCGGCGGGGAGCGGCGTCCGCAGGGGCCGGGGGCAGCTCGGGCCGGGGGAACCGCGGGGACCCTCTCCCTGCAGCCCCTTCAGCAGAGTCCAGCCTGGCCTCGGGCGCTGCCGGGGATGGGGGACCCTGCGGGGATCCGCTGTCCGGGCCGGGGGTGGTCGAGTGTCCCCGAGTGTCCCCGAGCCCTCGCTGGCACCGGGGCCGTGGCCGTCCACACGACCCGGGAGAGCCCGGACACGCGTCCTGGTACGCGGGGAGGGCCAGGCCAGAGGGTTCTGCAAGGCTGGAAAAGCGGCTGCTGCTGTTGATAGACAGCCTGCCAGCTTCCAGATATCCCTTTTTAAAAACTTATGTCGGTTATCAGTGATCGTGCTCAGCAGCCGCTTTATAAAATGGGTGTTTACAGCAATATTTCTGCTGTTGCTGGTGCTGCTGAGAGCTCCGGTGTGGTGGGAACACGGGTAGGAAATCCTGCCTCAGTAATTCCTCTAGATACTTACAGCGTTATCAGCAAGTCAAAGTTTACCACACTGGGTTTCATTGTAGCTTTTTTAAAGCAGCAATGATATTGTCAAGCATTTGTTTTATTGTAAAGTAGGACTTTTGGAAAACTTGTGAGAAAGTAGTGGTAACAGAGATCCCCTTCCACAGCCAGAAGATGTTATGGTCAGCTTTTAATGGTAGAAGAGAGTAGTTTGCTTTCTGCTGGGATTTTCAGTTTTCCCCTTCTGTGGGAAAGGACATGGAGAATTTAATGTCTAGAACACTTTAGCTTTGCTCTGTAGCAATCCAAAATGCAGCAGAATACCCTGTTGGGAATTCCACACTCCCTTGAGAAAGTGGCTGTGCCTAAATTCCTTAGTGCAAGCAGTTCCTGAGGCTCAGCAGTCACTTCCTGCTGTCTTTGTTTTGGAGCAGAACAACTGTGTAAACTGTTAGATCACACACACACGCCTCAAATCAGCGCTGACAGGTGGGCAAGGCTCCTGGAAACTGGAAGGAGATTCATTTTCATGGCCAGATAGGTGTGTTTTTACCAGACTGGTTTAAGTAGCTTGGTGAAATGCTGCCTCCACTTGCAGTTCCTTCACCAGAAGAGCAGTAAGAAGCACATCTTCATCTGTAACAGCAGCAAGGGTGAAATGAGTCCAGTGGGGTTCTTCCTGTTGGCACAAACAGCTGAGCTTTGTGGGCTGCAGAAATATTTTGAGGATTGTCTGTATTTCACGTCCTCCTTTGCATGAGGAATCTATTTGTTTTGGTTTCATTTCCTGCTCTAGGGAGTGGGGAAAAAGCTTGTCACAGGATTCAGCGTCACATCTGCTCTGCCCTGCAAATCGAGATCTTGAGGGCTCTGTGGAAAACCTTGATGTCATCATTTCTGGCACTAACCCACGAGCTGTGGTGTTTGAGCTTTCCTTTCACTCTGAGGAGAAGTCAGTTTAGGGGTGGCCATCAATAGGTTTCACTTTTTAATGTCTGTAGAGTCCTGTCTGGCACAGCCCAGGCTTGATCTGCTCTTTCAGTTTCTCTGTTCTCAGTGCAGGGCTTTGAGCACAGACTTCAAATGTTTTATGAGCAATGTTTAAATGCAAAATCTGTTTTCTATATGAACTGAATCTCTGAATCCTTCTTGGTACTGCTTCAGCAGTTGTCATGTCATGTATCCAGCTTTGGCTGGCAACATTAATGCTGCAGTTCTCCTGAGAGCAGAGGGTGAAATGCAGAGTTCTCCCAGGTCACTTTTGAGATACCTTGTTGTGCCATCCAGCTCCTGAGCTGTGAGATGAGGGGCTGATTTTTCCATGTGCCATATTTCCAAGCAACCCTCTCACCCATCATTTCCCATGAAAGATGTTTCTCACATGATTCTTCATGTTCAGGGTTGAACTGTGTGGAGTTCCTGCATTTATTTAGGAATAGGATGCTGCTGAGTTGTATCATGTCCCAGTCCTGCACACAGCTCAAAAATTCTTTGAGTACAGGCTGACACTCTCTTTTCCCCCCCCACTTTTTTTCCTCCCAATTACACAGGACAGCAGTGGACATTTTGTATGTTTTTTGTTAAATACAGAGTTTAAGTTATACAGAACAGTCAAAAAATAATTTTAGATTTCTAAGTTTGGTGCAATCTCCTGAGATCAGAGGAATAGTTTAAAAATAAGATAACAGATTACTGCATTAAGCTGTGCAGAAAAGCATATATGCAGTAATCCCTCCTTATGTGAGAGTAAAAAATTTGTTTAAAGTAGGTGTCAGCAGATTCAGCCTTGTTGCCTTGTGTTTTATTGTCACCAGTAACATCACAAAACTGGATCAATTTGTAGTTCAGTAATTGTGCAGTTTCACTTCAGATATGAGGAAAAATGGTGAGAATGATGTGGTGTGAAACTGTACATTGAGTTGTTTTGACAACTGAGTTATGTCTGTTAGAATTAATTCCCTCTGTCTTGTTGTCCTCAAGCAAAGGTGTTGGGTTTTTGTCTTGGGACCTGCCCAGTGCCTGGGCTGGACTGGCCCTGGTGCCTACTGGTGCTCAGCACCAGCTTTGCTGCTCAAAATAATTTTTTTAAGGTGATCATTATTAGCTTGGGTTCAGCTGTGTGTATAATAAGACACTATAAAGTTTCCAAGCTCAAATCCAGCTCTGTGCCACAGAGGTGCCATGAGAGCTTTAGTCAGCTAAAACACCGTGTTTCAGTTCTGTTGTCTTCTGAGGACTTTGCTCTCGTTTTACTGGGGTAATTATGTCATGGTTAATTGGCAGGTTATTTTGAGCTAATCATTTCAGGCTGCTACTCTCTAGGATAGCACTGTTAATGGTACATCAATCTGATAACAAACCAAGAGAGGGAAGCAGGAGTTTTCTCCTGAGCAGCAGCAACCCCTTGAGTCAGACACCTGTGAGATCACCTGTGCTTAGAGACCAGATTTGCTTGCTTTGTGTGGCTGAGCTTGGAATACAAAGTTCAGGGCAGGGAGACTCAAGTCTTGCTTGTAAAGAAGTGCATTCTTTTGGAAGTGCATTCCCAGTTTAGATGAAAAAGCTGGATACTTCCTGAATTTCTCTTTTGGAACAAGTTCCATATACAAAGTTCAGGGCAGGGAGACTCAAGTCTTGCTTGTAAAGAAGTGCATTCTTTTGGAAGTGCATTCCCAGTTTAGATGAAAAAGCTGGATGCTCCTGAAATACTGCATTTCTCTTTTGGAACAAGTTCCATTTTTAGCAGTTAAACAGAAGTTTGTTTCAAAATTAAATCTCATTGTGAAAATATAGCCAGTCAATATAGTGTCAATGAATCATGAGTTCTCTGAAATAGCTAGTTGAAAAAGCTGGATACTTCCTGAATTTCTCTTTTGGAACAAGTTCCATTTTTTAGCAGTTAAACAGAAGTTTGTTTCAAAATTAAATCTCATTGTGAAAATATAGCCAGTCAATATAGTGTCAATGAATCATGAGTTCTCTGAAATAGATAGTTAAAGTAAGTTACATTTATGAGCTTAGTTCTGATTTATAGGCTCAGCTGAATAAAAATACCATGTACATTTGTTAGTTCAAAGTTGTGAAATATGAGTTACTTTTGTACATGCTCAACACAACTTTTTATATTAAAACTTTTGTTAAGGTCAAAGTTAATAAAACTGCTAGTGGTTCTCTTCAATAAAAAAAATCCCAACCCTTTTCTTACTCTCTCCACTGTTTTCAAAAATACTTAGACAAACTATATTAAATTGATTTTTGGTGTAGGGGGACAGTTTATGGAAGGAAAAATCAAATGAAAAAATATTACTGTTCTTAGGACAATTTCTTAAATAAAGAAAATATGTAAACCCTGAAGGAATTTGAGTGGATGCAGTGAGAGAGGGATGGGCAGTGATGAGTAATTGAAGGCGTGGTTTTTGGAACCAAAGCACCCTTCAGCTGAGGAGCTTTTTGCTAAGCACCTTCCTCACAGTCCCAGCTACCCATGGATGGATCCTGCTGATTCACTGGTGTTTATGATGGGCTGTCTCCACCTAAGCATGACTCCAGCTGACTTTTATGGGAAGGCAGTGCAAATACCTTCAAACTTGCTAAACACTGCAGATTTCCAGCCAGCCTGCTTCCTCTTACCACGAATCCAATACTTTGGGGAATGGATTCTTTTGATTTTGTTTTAATAGTGTTACAACATTTGTTGCTATGGTTTCTATGAAATATCTTGCTTTAAGGAAATATGCTGAATTTTTTTTTTGTTACTCCTCAGGCCTTTGCACAGTTTGATGCTGAAGGAGATGGCACTGTTGATGTGGAGAATATGCTGGAGGCTCTCAAGAATTCTAGTGGAGCAAATCTTCAGGGGGAGCTGAGCCATGTAATCAGGCAACTGCAAGCTTGTTCACTGGTGCCAGGTATGAGAGCAGAGTGTTGGAAGGAAGGGTTTCCCAAGCCCTGCCCCAGAGAGGAGGTGCTGCCTCAATAAATTGCTTTAATAGCATTGCTTGTCCTAATCTTATCAAAAACACTCTCCAGAAGGTTCTTGGTTCTTTAGTGTCAGGCAAGTGGAGTTGTTGTAAATTAAACATTTCCCAGAATTGCATGCAGAACTTCCTTTCACAAATAACCACTGTTCCCTTTCTGTGTGACTGGGGAGTGTCTTCCCCCTGTTTGGTTCATCTCACAGAGAGAAAATGTACCTTGCAGAATTTTGGTGAGTGCCCAGCTAATGCAGTCTTGCACTTGGTAACTGGAGGAATAAATCCTCCATGGAGTCTGTTCCAGGGATGAGTCACATATTTTATATTGTTACTCAGCATCTGAAATCCTGATAAAACATAATTCAGGTTTTATGGTTTATAGTTCAGAAAGTATCAGTTTCAGAATTTGATTTCTGGGATAAGTGTCAGTTACTGGCTTTTCTTCCAAGCATTTGATGATAAGTAGCTAAAGGGGATTTGCCTTAAAGGATCAGAAAAGAAACTAGAATTTGCTGCAGAGTATTCAGAGGAGAGGACTTGGAGAGTACTGCTCACTGCATGTAAATGCCCTGGGATCCAGGTGCCAGTGCTCAGGAGCTGACATTTCTGACCAAGTTGGTGGAAAGCATTAGGAATAATCCACAATTCCAAAGGGAAAAGCTCAGTGTAGCTCAGAGTGAGTGACTGTTAACCAAGTAGCAACTGCTATTTGGTTAACAATCTACAACTAGATTTTGCTTAACAATCTACAACTTAGATTTTGAAGGTAAGGGTTTGGGGCAGCAAAATAAAAATAAGATTTTTGGTAGTTGTTTTGAACTCCTTCAGGCATTCAAATCACTGGCAAAAATATTTTCCTGCACTTTTCCCTGCTGTAGAGGTTGCAGATCTGAGCTACATCCTCTAATAGTTTTACATCCTTCTCTCATTGTGGTGCCAAAGGAAATGATGTCTCTTTCTAGGGTTTATTGATATATTTTCTGAGTCCAAAGAGCGCCTGGGCCTCCACGCCTCGATGATCCTGAGATTCCTGCACCGGAACCGCATCTCCAGCACTGCCATCCCCTACCCAGTGCTGGAGTACTTCAACAACATCTGCACCATGCGCTCCTCCGTGCTCAAGGATTCTTTGGACCGGCTCCTCCTCAAGGAGAGAGGTGGGCAATGTCTTCCCTTCTTTTTCAGGGTGTGGCCATGGCTTTGGAAAAGAGACTGCAGATAAAATGAAAAGCTTTCTTGACTATGGCACCTCTAAAAGGCCTCATGTTTTATGAAGTTACTCTGCATGCTTCTGGGGATTTTTGTTGGTTTTTTGAAGCACATAAATTGTTTTCTGAACTACCCAGCAATCTGAGTAACACTCTGAAATGTTCTTATCTTTCTCCTGGCCTGTTCCAGAATCGATAGTTACTCATTTGTGATATTCTGTATTCAGTCAAATATCTCTATTAGTTGCTAGAAATTTAGTTTCCATGTGAAGGTGGATGTTTTATGAAGTTGACTGTTCAGTATTAAAAGATACTTTATTATTTTGGACTGGAGGTGATGAATATTATACTGCATCTCTGATGGGACTGGCCTGGTCCCTGTGGGGAGGGCTCCTTTTCTTTACAGCTTGACTAGAAATCTTCAGATTTCTGCACTTCTATTGAAATAGATCAAGTTACATGGGAAAGAGAGTGCTTTGTTCTTTCCCTAAAATACAGGAATTGCAGTTTTCTCTGTTGTAATTTACTTTTGCCTTTCATCTGTTTGTATTTGGGTACAAAAATAATAAAGCAGCATTGAGGCCAGTAATGAAAGGGATAGATAAGGCTATTGAACTCCAGGGAGTGGAGATGTTTTCATACTCAGAGTGGTAGATGGAGATTATTGCAATTTCATCTGAAATGAGACTTTGCTGTCTCCTAGTTCCTGTCAGAAACAGTCCTTCAGGGCTGTGTTCTGTGCCAGCAAGTTCATTTGTGTGAGACAGTTCTTACAAAGGTATAACAATACTCCAAACAGCCAAAGAAAAATATTCTGAGTGGTTTCTTTGCAGAATACCCCAGTGATCTGAATGGCAATCAGGAGTCAGACAAGCTGAAGTCTGTCACAAAGTGCTACACACACATCGAAACCTCCTCCAATTCCGCCGATATCGACAAGATGACAAACGGAGAAACTTCCTCCTTCTGGCAGTCGGACGGGAGCGCTCGATCCCACTGGATACGGTGAGCTCAGGGCTGGGGCTGGGGGCCCTGGGCTGGCAGCCACGGGGGTTGTGCTGGATTCATCCTGCCTGGATGCCAGGGGCCCCCAAGGCTGCTCCAGGACTCCCCTCCTCAGCTGGGCAGGGGAGAGAAAATGTAACGAAAGGTTCTTGGGTCAAGGACAGGGAGAGCTCTGTCACCAACTGCCATCACAGACAAAACAGACCTGATTCAGGGAATTTAGTTCAGTTTATTAAATGAGGGTGGGGTTAGGAGAAACAAAACCAAATGTTCCCCCTCTTCTTCCCAGGCTTAGAGAAAAACGGAAGGGAAATGATCTCCTCCCCTCCAGAGGCGCAGGGGGATGGGGAGTGTGGGCTGCACTCAGTGCATCACATGCTGGCTCTGCCACTCCTTCCTCTTCAGGGGCAGGACTCCTCACATGCTTCCCTGCACCAGTGTGGGGTCCCTTCCATGGAGCTCCCTCCAATTGCTCCAGTGTGGATCCTTCCCATGGGGTGCAGTTGTAGAATCACAGAATATTGAGTTGGAAGGGACCCGCAAGGATTGTCAAGTCCAGATCTTATGCATCACATGCTGGCTCTGCCACTCCTTCCTCTTCAGGGGCAGGACTCCTCACATGCTTCCCTGCACCAGTGTGGGGTCCCTTCCATGGAGCTCCCTCCAATTGCTCCAGTGTGGATCCTTCCCATGGGGTGCAGTTGTAGAATCACAGAATATTGAGTTGGAAGGGACCCCAAGGATTGTAAAGTCCAGATCTAACGTGAATGGCCTCTATGGGGATCAGTCCTTCAGGAAGAAGCTGCTGCAGCATGGGTCCCCCATGGGATCACAAATCCTGCCAGCAAGCCTCCTCCAGTGCACACTGCTCTCCCCATGGGGACAAAGGTCCAGCTTCCAGCAACTTCTCACACCCTGTAGCCCCTGGCTGCTAAAACCCAATACAGGTGTAATTGAAAACAACTGGAATTAATGAGTGACAGGTGAATACAGACAAAAGCAGAAGTCATTGATCTCTGCATAAAATTTAAAAGCCTGACTGCCAAATAAAAGGTCACCTGTAAACTGCCTGTATCTGCTGTTGTGACACAAAGCCTTGTTGTACAGTGAAGCTTTCCAAGCTGTAATACAGATGCAGTAGTTGGTACTTGAATAGAAACACTTTGCCATTGTCCAGGATGTTCCATGAAACAGAAATGCTCAATGAAACAGAAATGTTTAGTGGTGTTTTTAGTGGTAGATCTGTGAATGTGTGCTTCAAAGCAAAAAAAAAAACAAAACTCATTTTGGTCATTATTAACATTGCATTTTTATTCTTGAGGAATGAATTCTCAATTGAAAATATAAATAGAAAATTCTACAGTCTCTCAGAGGCAACTGTTTTCTAAATCAACTTTCTAAACTTGTTCACCATGATATGGTGTTAAAAACACCTGTGAAGCATTAGGTAAATTTCAGAGCATTTATTTGTGTTTGTAGAGGAGGAAATGAATAATAATAAGGAGAAAAATTAATAATAATGATAAGAAGGAGGAGGAGGAGGAAAATGAATAATAACATAATATCTATTATATATACACATGTGTAATGTTATGATATAGAACAATAAAAGCACAGTGCTTGACTTACCTTCTCTTTGCAAGAACCGTTTTCTCTTCTTTGCTTTGCAGTTTAAAGATGAAACCAGATGTGGTTTTGAGACACCTGTCCATTGCAGTGGCAGCTAATGACCAGAGTTACATGCCACAGCAGGTCACGGTGGCAGTGGGAAGGAATGCCAGCAGTCTCCAGGAGGTCCGAGATGTTCACATTCCAAGCAATATCACTGGCTACGTAACACTGTTGGAAAACGCTAACATTAGTCAGATGTGTGAGTCAATAAAGATACCATTGGGATACTGCTTTGCTGCTTTTTGCAAGGTGAAAGGTTGGGTAGATCATGGAGAGATGTGGTGAAGTGTCAGTCACCAGGGGTGACACTTTGGGCCTTGTCCTTGGGTCAGAGAAATTGTTTTAATTCTGGTTTAATTTCTAGCCTGTAAAAGAGTCTTCCAAGCCTTTCTTGTGGTCTCTGTAAAGTGGGCTAAGGGTTGAAGAGAAAAATTACTAAAGATGCAGTTTTAGCCTTCCAATGTGAAGACATGGGGCAGCTTCAAAATATCCTTGCTTGCAGAGTGAAAGCATATGTTGGCTGATAGTATCTAGCAAAAAATCTGCTTTTTTTTTTTTTGGTACTGAAACTCTGAAATTGGTCCAATGTAAGGCAGGTTTTATCCTTTTAAATATGTTATTTTTGATTCTGGTAGCTCTGTGGGTGCTATATTGGAATCAATCAAGAAAAGCTGCTCCTTCCTAAGATGGTTTCTGCAGCTTCAGGAATTTTGTCCCTTCAGTTCCAAAAGATGCTTTTCCCTGAGAGGAGCTTTCAGTGCCACAGAAGTGGACAGCAAGGATATTGTTCCTCAAAAGTAATCAGTTATGCCATCTGTGCAAAATGGTCAAGAACTTGTATGAAAATTTTTATGTAACTTTAAACTTTGCCTTTGGGCTTTGCTCCTTTTCCCTATTATCTCCACAACCACTTGCTTCCAAGACACTTCCTGTATATCTAGGTAGGAAGGTACAGTGAAATAATCTATTTTCCACTTTGAGGATATTTTAATTTTTCCTAGTTTCTAGGAAATAGGCATAGAATCTGTAATGGGTCCACAGGCTATTGATGCAAAGGCTAAATTTTTCATATCAGAGGGTGCACAGTGTGTGTGGTTATCCATATCAGGCAGCGCTGTTCCATATCTGCCATTACTTTTCCAAAAATTCCCACACTCATTTATTATTTGGACTAGCTGGATTCTTCTAACTAATCTAGCAGAAGAAATGGGGGAAGAAAAATTGCAATTTGTGTTTTGACAGATGTACAGATAAACATCAAGCGTTGCCTCAGCGATGGCTGTGACACCAGGATCCACGGGCTGCGGGCCGTGGGCTACCAGCGCGTGAAGAAGGTGGGAGTGTCCGTGTGCGACGCCTCGGCCATCTGGTACTGGTCCCTGCTGACCTCCCTGGTGACAGCTTCCATGGAAACCAACCCAGCATTTGTTCACACCATCTTACAGAATACTCAGTAAGCACCAAACTTGCATGGGGTGTGATTTTAGCTACTTCTTATTTATTTTTTTTTAAATACTTCTGGCTTTAGGAGGCAATCTGTTGCATGTGACTGGTTTCTACTCCCTTCATTCAGGTGTTTAAACAGCTTTTTCTGTCTCATTGTTCAGATTTTTGATGGTTTTCTTCTATCCATTTGCACATACTAGAACAAGTGTAATCCTCCTGGCTGTTTCATCTAATCTAGTTGTTAAACCATGACTTAATGGACACTGAAAAATACATTTTTCACTGATCCATTTACTTGTAATGACTTTGAGCAGTATAAAATTAATTCCTTTTTCTTGTCTGGTATTAATAATCAATAAAATCTACATCTTCCCCTTAGGACTGAGGCTTAATTTTCTGCAGATTTCTACTTATGCAATGCCTTGTCATGCATTTTGTGGGGGTATAGTTGAGTATATGCACCATCTCCATGCAAATGTTTGCTTGTGGTGATTGACCATTTTCTGTGTAACGTTTCCTTGTTAGATTGCCAAACACTTCTGCTTGCTGACTTGAAGGATTGGAATCCCAATAAAACCTCTCCACACCCACATGAGCTTTTACAGAGCTCAGTTAGCACAATGTCACCACACTGAAGAGCAGGGCTGTCATTAGGTTAATGAGTCCTGTAGGCTAAAGTCCACTAAGCCTATCTTTTAATTTATGTCAGCTGTGAAATCTCTGAATTCAAAGTTTAGATAACTTCATACATGCTCAGGCCTTAGGCCCGTAGTTGCAGGCTTTGCAGAAGCTGAGGGCCTTCAGTTTTGGTGAAGTTTAGATATTTTTTAGAAATGTAACATGAATATTGAGCTAATAAAGCATTGAAAAATTATGATGGAGAAATCCTGACTAAAATCATGCTTTCAGGAATTAGATTCACTGTTTAGATTTATAAAGCAAAACACCAAAGTTTAGAATTGGATGGAATAACTGTAATATTGAAAACTTTAGCATTGGGTAGAATAACGTTGGTGAAACTGCTTGAGAATTCCTAATTTCAGGGATTTTCACAATATTTTTAGGAATTCACAATAATTCTGATTTGAGCTAACAAGTGTCTCTTCGTTTCTCTTATTCTTCTGAGGGAATTTCAAATCAATTTTCCCTTTATTCACAGGCTCTTGCTCAATTCTGGACCAATTTAAAATGAAGCAGTGCTTGGATGCTAAGCTATTTCTAATGCTGTCACAGATTTAATTTAAAACTCCTTGATATGTTTGTCTCATTAAATCTGAGATTGAAACTAGATTCAAGATTACCCAGCAGTCATTGAACTTTCCCTGCTTAGAATGGAATACTGTTGTTCCCTTTTGAAGAGAATCTCTATGTGAATAGATTTTGTGCATTCAGAAGCAATTTGCAGAGACCTGCCCACACAAAGCATGAAGATTCAAGCCTCTAATTCACATTAGAAGGCTCTTTTCTCCAATTCTGCCTGGTTTCCTGACATAACATTTCACTTTTTCCTAGGAAAGCACTGCAGCACATGCCACCTCTATCCCTAACACCAGGCTCCACAGATTTTTCAAGCTTCTTATCACCAAATGTTTTGGAAGAAGTAGATAGCTTCCTTATCAGGATAACAAGGTGAGCTTGTGTGGCTGATGCAGTGGGAGGTGGTTTGGAAGAGTCTCCAAATAAAATTTTTACAAATTTACTCACATGCTCTTTTCTAAGTACCTTGAAAAATACAAATGCATCAAGAAACAGGCGCCTGAGAGATTCTGTGGCAGTTTGTCTTTATTGAAAAACAGAACATCCCATATTTTCTTTTCACAATGTTGTTTTTCCTCCCAGTTGTTGTACTACTCCAGAGGTGGAGCTGACACTCCTGGCCTTTGCCCTAGCGCGGGGGAGTGTTGCCAAAGTGCTGAGTTCCCTTTGTGCCATCACTGATCATCTGGACACTCCATACAAGGCTTCCTCCCTTATCTCTTCCATGGCAGCAGTCAGACAGAACCTGCTCTATAAATATGGTAATGGAACAATCCTGCATCCTTTACAGGCTTAAGAAAATATACAGCTTTGAGTTGTTCCTCTTGGTGGGTTTTAAAATGATCCAAATTTTCTTAATTAAAAACTATCACTGAAATCACAACCTAGCAGATGAGCTGCCCAAAAAGTTGGTGATTGATCAGCTTTCTGTGATTAAAGAGTTAAACCAAGTAGAATCTTCTCAAGAGAGAAAAGATGAACTTTGTAGGTCATGGCCCCTGTATCAGCATGGTGATGATGGTGTTTGTGTTGCTTAAATGGCAGGAAGTATTTTTCTTCTTCCAGTAAGACATTTGTTTGAGTGAGCCTCTGTGAGTGCTCTCTCCTGCAGACATGTACAAAGTTGAGATGCATTTTAAATGTAATGCCATTAGCATCTCTTTATGGTTATTTTTTTTTCCACTTTTATAAGATGAGTTAAAATTAAGTTTTTATAATCTGAGTATGTCATGAGTGTAGAGCTGTTCATGGTCTGGAATCAGGTGGTGATTTTGCTCTATTTGCTGGACTTGTTTGATAAATCTGTATTTTCTCAGGTATCATCTTCTGAGATTCTCATTAGTCTCTCATGAAGAATTCATGGAGACCTTTTATTTGCCTTTTAGTCTGTTTATTTAGTAGTCTTGTCTTGTACCAAAGAACACGTGGATTATTTCATAATTATCGATGTTTACTTTCAAAAATTTTGAAAATTGGTTTGTTTTCCCCAGAGTAGCTAATGCCTTTTGTAAGACAAGTGGTTTTTCACAGACTGTGAATTCCAAAGTGTGGCATCAGTTGAAGGAACATTAATTGTCATGAATTTCATTGTCCTTCTGTCTGTATCTAAAACTCCAACTACTTTAGATTAATATATCTCTCATATTCCAGTTTTCCTCCCTTTTTTTGTGTCTGACAAATAAGGTAAAAATCTCATAGTATTGTAATTTTTTTCCATATCTTTTTCTGAGCAAAGAACTTTGGAAAATATATTTTACCATTTTAAATGAATTTGATAAACCTGTTGATTTTTTGACTTAGGAAAGCCTTTACGACTGACTCTGCAAGCATGTGATGTAAAGGGAAAAGAGGATAAATCAGGGCCTGAAAACCTCCTTGTAGAGCCATGGACTGGGGATGGTAAGAGCCTGGACTTAAAATCCATAATATTAGAATCATAAAATCATTTAAGTTAGATAATTCCACCAAGCATAATAATTGTTAACAATGCTGTGGTGATGTTCCATATTTACTAATATATATTTGATTCTTTATAGTTTAATGCTATGTAAGATTTATAATTAAAAAAAAAGGTAAACTAACAAACAAAAACCCAAACAAAACCAATATATAAATTCGATTTTGCAGCACTGTGGATTTCTTGTAAACCAGTTTATTGTCAAAACAAGCCAACCAAACAAAAAGATTGGATTTTGGAGAGAGTTATTAATATTCTACATGGGAGCCAGCAGAGAGCTGCCACAGGGAATATTCTAGAGCACACTTTGTGGGTTGAAGTCATGAATCACTGTTAGTTTCCCAAATATTGATAGGAGAGAGTTTGTAGAAATCATTTAAATTCTCACTGCACATACCTACTAATTCTCTCTTGAAGCCTCTCTTTGTTAATGCAGTGCTTTTATGCACTGGATACAACCTAAACAAAGAGATTGGTGTTTCTTGACCTCCTTTTAAGTGAAATGCCACCTAATCTTTTTTTTTTTAAATAGTTTATTGTCTTGTGCAGCACTACTGGTAAATGAAAGCCATTGTGGCAGAAAATCAGGCACTTTCTAAATGCTTCTTTTACACCTCTCTTAGTTCATGTGCATTATTTGAGTTTATTCTTTAGTTATTTTGTGGCTTGTCTGCTGTTGTTTTGTGGGTCACAGTTTGGGAGACTATTCACTGAGTTCAGTGAATAGAGCCACAAGCCAAAGCAATATTTGGGAATCACTAATCAACTTTAATAAGAAAATATTCTTGCAACTGCTGCAGATATTGCAGTGCCCAGAGAGATACTGCCTGGAGAGTGCTGTGTAAAATGCAATCTTTTAAGTAGTCCCTTTTATTTGGAAACATTTGCTAATGAGTATTTCACTGGAAAAGCTTTGTGGTTTTGTTTCCCCCCTTCAGCCCACAATCCCAGTATTTTCTTTCTAACCCCTTGCACTGGCACTGATTCAGACTCATTCTGTTCCCACTGCTGCTTTAGGTTTTCTTACTGAAACTGGGAAAACCAGAGCAAGTATCATTCTTTCTACTGGAACTGAATCTTCATTTCAAGTGACACAAATTAGAATAAAGGTATGTAGTTGCTGGGAGCTTTTGAAGTAGAGGATTTACTTTTTTCCCCTAGTGGTGGAATTGAATTTGTATATTTTTTATATGAACTGAAATTTAAATTCATTATGAAATACTGTTATTTTATAGTTTTTCTTCAGTGTAAGTCAGGGAACTTCAGGAAAAGGAAGTCTTAAATTTTTCCAGGGAGCCACAAGCATGTAGTAAAGACATTTATTTTATATTGATTTTATCTCTTATCTTGCCATATATATCTCAAGCCAGAGACTCTTTGGTTTATGGTTTCTCTCTCAAGTATGTAAGGTCTTTGATCTTATGTTTAAAATAACTTTTTGACTCTGTGAATAGCAGGTGTCAAGATACAAAGCATGTGAGTTCAGATTAAATGGAGGTATTTCAAGTTTTGTTTAGAGACACCAGTGTAATTTGAATTTGGTGTGACTGTTATCTGATTTCAGAGGGAGATCTTAATTAAATCATGATTAAATCTCATGGCCAAGACAAAACTTCAGTGAGGTTTCTGCAGCTGAATTGACTTATTTACTTAAGGCAAAGCAATAATATTATTTAATTCCCAGAGCAACAATACATATTTCTATGTCAAAGACATTTAAACATGAATAGACTTCTGGCAAGTAAATTTTAACTGGAGCTGGAGAGGCAGCTGAGTTGATTTGCAGTGTATGATATTAATAGGGAAACATGATTTTAGTTTTGTTGATTTTTTTAAATGTAAAAGGAAAACAAAATGGGAATTAATATGTGGAACTATAATGTATCTAATTAATATGTGGAATTCTAGTTAATGTAAGGATGCTGGCAGGGTGATAAATACAGTAAGTAACAGCTATGTACATGATCTCAATTCAGGGGGTTACAGAAGTTTTCATAACATTTCTCTGGGCGTGTTTCATGCTCCTGTGCAGTTCCAGAGGGCAGGATAGTCGGGATGGGGTTGCTCTCCATAGTTCTGTCCTTTCCTTGCTGCACTGGTTTGCCCTCAGGTCCGGCGCGGTGCCATCGGGGCGCAGTGCGGGCTGGTGTTCGCCTACAATGCTGCCTCAGGAAGGTTCCATGCTGAGGAACACTTCAAAAGGTTCGAGAGCTACGACAAGTGGAAGCTGAGGGAATTCAAGCAGTTTTTAAAAACCAGGTATAAATGGATTTTTGCAATGCATACATGGAAAATGACTGTTATATTTGATCATTTTGCAATGCTGCTTGAACTACTGAGAGTTGTTCCAGGTGACTTAAAAATGGGGCATCATTTAATTTGAATGTTTGATTTTAATGAGCCTCCATTTGATATGTTGAATGTAATATGTGTATAGATGTTGTTTTCAGCCACTTGATTTAAACACCTGTTATAAAAGGGATATAGCAAAACAAATCTTCTACTTGGGGTGCAAATCAATGATAACAGAAATTTTTTGATTAAGTTTTATTAAATCAGTTTTCAGAACTGTTGCTCAGGAGTAAGGAGAGGTTAAGGGGCTGTGCCAAAAATTATTTTGTTGATTTTTTTTTTAAGCATGTGATTGATAGAGTTTTGGGTTTGTGAAACTTTCTGCTGTCTTTCTTCATCTTTATAGCCATAACATGCTCTAAGTATTTTGGTAGGGTATGAACAGCTTTGCAATGTCTCTGAACGTTCTCTTTACAAAGTGTGTTACATTCTTTTATACACAGAAGCAGTTGTTCATGTGATGATTTGGGAGAAGATGATCCTATTGGCTGGTTTGAAGTAGAAGAAGAATGGGATGAAGTTGATGTCAAAATGCAGCAATGCAGAGTTTCCCAAGTAAGAGCCCACAAAAACCCCTTGGCCCAGCCACAATGAACAGGGGCTCCTTTCTGTGTCAACTGAAATAAACATATTCTGTTTTGTGAGGGAGAATTCTGCTGTATAGAGAAAAAAATGAATAGGCTTCTAGTTAAATGAAGAATTGAACTTTTGTCCTCTGAAATAGTTTATTTTTCTCTGTATGCACACACACATATGTATATATATATATATGCATGTAGTTAAGTAGCAACTGAAATAAACATATTCTGTTTTGTGAGGGAGAATTCTGCTGTATAGAGAAAAAAAAATGAATAGGCTTCTAGATAAATGAATAATTGAACTTTTGTCCTCTGAAATAGTTTATTTTTCTCTGTATTCACACACACACACACACACATATATATATATACATGTAGTTAAGTAATGCTTCATGATCAAATTTAATGCAAAGCTATATGATAATGTGCAGATTACTGGTTTTAACATGATTGTTGCTTTATTCTAGTATCTAGACCATTTAACTACTGTGTAGTCATAGCATTTATTCTTCCAGAGCCAGGTTCTTCAATCCTTGTTTCAGTGGGAAAACAATTATGAAGCATTTCCATCAGTTAGGCTGCTGTCCCTGGGGAATGGAGACTCTTTCATTTTGAGAACGGCAGAAGATGGTTTTGATTTTAAGTGCTTGGTGCATTTATAGGGAATGTTTCATTTAAGATGGTTCTGGAATCAGCTTTTGTAGTTCCCCAGTCCATCTGCACTGTGGGAATTAAGAGAATTGGTGACATTGTTGTGTCAGCTGGGATTTTTTCTGACTGCTGCAGAGTAACCAGTACATGTGGATGGCAGGACTTGCTGTTCCTTCAGTTTTGTGCTCTGTACCTCACCGAGAACAGACTGATCAAAGTATGTTCTAAATATTACATATTGATCCTCTGCCTGCTTTTAAATGCAGCTAATAATTATTTAACCTGCAAGAATACTGCAGCTGTGGCAGTGAGGAGCAGTCTGAATGAATGAGCTGAGAATGAATTAGCAAACTTTGCAGGCACCTGTAGAGGTCATAGAACCATCTCTGTGACTTTTTGGAAGCAGGGAGAGATCAAACCTAGCCTGAACTGACTCTGAGGCTCAGTATTTTAAACCTCTGTAGGTGTTAGACAAGGGACTAAGGCTTCCCTCTTCAATCCTCACCTACGTGCACTCTAGCCTTTTAAAAGCCCAGTTTGTACAAGCTTTTAAACCCAAATCTTGTGCTATTTTTCCATCCATCCAGTACTTGATGATAAAGTTCTTGTGCACAAGACAAGAGTCAGCAGAGCGGCTCGGGGTCCAGGGGCTGAGCGTCCTGGGCTACCTGCGGCCCCTGCGCGACGAGCCCTGCAGGGCCATGAGCTGCCTGCAGTGCAGGAGGACTGAGGAGGACACGGTTTGTGGCACAACTCTGCTCCTGAAGACACTTCACTTCATCCAGCAGCTGGCACAGGACCTGGTATTTTTACTTCTTAAGGTTTTTTTAAGCTTCTGTTTGTCAGGCTGAAAGGAATAAGGCTGTGCAAACAGCAGTTGTGAATGGGCAAAGAAAAGTTGGGGTACTCTTAACAAAGGTTAAAAAGCATGTTGTAGAAAAAAAATAGAATTCTGTGTATGTTTGCTGAAGGTTTATTACTTCCAATCAAATTAGATGGAGAGGTAGAGGTTATAAAGTGTTCTGGTGGTAGAGAAAAGGGATGGGAAACAAGAAATCCAGAAAGGGGGGAGAATTCTGTGAATAAGAAGGTTTCAGCATGGTCTGTCACATTTAGGCACCAGAATGTCCACGAAAAACTTAAACTGGAATTCATGTTAGCTGCAAATTTATAGGAAAGATGGCTGTACTTTCCTTTAAGCCCAGTACTCAGAGATTTATGTTTTATAAGTGTGTTCTGTATAGATTTAACTTTCCAATCCTGCATTTTCTTTGCCTTTTTAAGGTTCAGCAGAAGGAGAGTGGATTAAAATACAAGTCATTTTTAGATTTCACAGGCCTTGATTTGCAGCTGTTCTGGAATTTTTACAATAAACTGCACCAAAAGTAAGTTTCTTCTTTTAGTGTCTGCTGAAGCACTAATCAGTGTATGTGTGTATAAATAAAATGTGCTTTGTTTAGTTACTGCAGTTTGTTCTTCTTAAACTACATCATTTACATAAATAACATTTCCCTACTGCTACCATATGGACTTCTAACTATGAAGTTATGTAGAAGCTTGAGCTGTAGATTAGTTGAGCTGGTAGCTACACTTATTTTGGCTGTTTCTCTCCACTCAGTGGTTTTTATCTATCTGAAATGGTGACTTTGATAGCAATACTTATTTGGTGCAAAAGAGCTGCTTTTAGTTTTGCTTTTATTTATTATATATCTTTTTACAGTCCAAGGGAAGAATGTATCTTTGCTCAAACACTGCTGTTGCAGCTTCTCCAGAGCTGCTTCTCTGTGCTTACTGGAGATAATAAAACTGCTAAACCTCAAGAAACTCCTCAGAGCAAAACAGCTGGTCACACAGAAGCTGCAGAAGAGCTTTATAGACATTTGTGTGAAGGTAATTTTTATTCAATATATATTGACTGTTTTGTCTGTTAAATTTTGGGAAAAGATACTCATTCCTAGAGGCCAAGTCAGCTCCTGTTCCTTTGTTTCTCCTTCAGGTCAGTGTGTGCTAATTAGTCTATGACTAGAAACTTTCCTTGGCCCAAAGAAATGGTTTTGTCAGACTTTCTGACAATGTGGTCTGGAAACAGTTGCAATAGAAAACTCCTTTTGAATTGTCACCTGCTTGTAGCACCAGGGAATGTGACCCTTTGATACAGCAGTACTGGGGTTTATTTATTTCTGATATTGCATATCAGTATGAATGAGCTCATGAGTAGACTGTAAGGTTTACAGGGACACAGGGAAAATTCTGGAGCCAGTGAAGAGAATGGGAATTACACATTAGGTTTCATTGGAAGTAGGGTGGCATGCTCTCTATTCAAGTGTAATTTCAAGAGTCTCCTGCAGAAGCAAAGAAAACACTTCATATAGAATCTGTCACATCTTGAAAATTGTATTAACTTTGATGGGTGTCAAGTTATAATCTTTCTAGAATTCATTTACTTGGTGAATAGATATATTCTTTCTTAATATAAATCTTTCTTGCTGTAAGTTAAAAAGTTTTCCCTCATTTTCTATGTGTATCATAGGATTGCAAGGGCTTGAAGTTGTGTAGACTAACATTTAATTCAGTCATGCCTCTAACTTATTAGATGAGGTATTAATTAGAACTTGTAATTTTGTTTCCTTTTTGTATGAGCAGTAGTGGATATGGGGGACAGTAACTTCATGCCAATGAAAATGCTGAAAGAGGAAGTTAAGAACACCTTACTCAGTGGAGCAGCAGTTTTTTTCCCAGATAGACAGACCAGGCGACACCAGCTCTTCACCATGATGGTAAACATTGAATGAGAAATTGTTTGTTTAGTGCCTGCTTTCTTTATGCAGAAAAGAGGACAAATCTGACTTGTTATTCTCAAATAATACATACTTTGTCCCATTCAAGTAAAAGCCTTATTTTTTTTCTTTGCCTCTTTTTACCCTGCCCCTTTTCTCTCTGCAGCTTATCCAAAGAAAGAGGAGCTAACCCTGCCTTTCTTACTAAAAATGAATAATAGAATACAGAAATTAGAATTCTTTGTCACAGAGAGGGAAAACAGAATGTATCATAAAAATAAATCTTTTTCCTTTTCTAGAAAAACATCACAGAGCAAGAACATAAGCAATCTGTACATCTTGCCTTTAGATCCTTGTGTACCCACTTCAGGTAAGGGGTCCTGAAGTTGAAAATATTTGTGTGATACCCCACATTTGTTAATAAGTTTGTATTTAATCCTTTTTAGAAATGTTATTCCCCTGAACAATAATTCTCTGAAGTAATCCACTAATGTTGTTTAGAAAAGACATGCTACTAATCAATATTTTAATTAACTGAATAGCTCTATAAAACACTGGCCAAGGTTAGTGTTGAAATCACAATATATTGTTCTTAGGCTTCTCCTAGGCTGTCTTCCAATTTTTAAGTAATTGTTTGTCAGTGCTGATGGTTGCTATTGATTTAATTAGTCTGGTGTCAACAGAACACAAACTTTTGATTTTCATTGTAATTACACAGTAGGATCTCTACAGATTTGATACAAAAATGATAAATTTCTGGTTTGGAACTGTTTGTAACTCCTTGTTGTTGGTTAGTAAGAATATCTTTCTTTTGTAGTGATCAAGATCCAGGTGGACTCTTATTATTACCAGAGAAAGGAGTTTCTGCAAATTTTGACATAAGTGAAGTATTATCAGTCATGGACACCCTTCTGCTTGTGGCAGCAAGAGAGGTAACTGGCTTTGCTCCTGCTTCTTTGCTGTGAGTTTTGTAGGCACTCAAACACAAGCTGCTTCCATGGATACTGTGGAACAGCTTCCCTGTCCTGGATACCCCTGCTCATGGCTGTGCAAGTCAGTAGGATTAGCTTTGCCAATCAGTTGTGTTTTCCTTTAAGCATTGACATTTCATGACAGTAGAGTAGGAAATAAATAATATTTTTCCAGTATGAAATATGTAAGATGTGGTGTTTTTCCATGGCATTGAAAAGACTCTATGGAGAGACACTGGGATACAGAAGGAATCATTCCATTTTGAGAGGCTGGGATTGGGCATGTCACTAAGGGAGCTGGAAATGGAGGAGGGTTATTTACATATGCAGAAAAACTGTGCTGGGAACATCAAGTGACTCATATGTAGCTGTTCCTATTTAAAGTTGAGATATATCAAAACAAAGCCCATCACTTGCTACAGGGTGTTACATGCTGCTTGTCATTTGCATTTCATCTTTTTCTGGGGTGAGTGGGATGATTGTGTCCATCCCAGTTTACTTGGTGCATACTGTGTGTCATGCTCCATTATATTCATGAATGTTCCTTATTTTTCAGTGTGAAATGATGATGCTGGATGTTGCACAGCAAGAGAGTGGCACAGTCTTGTCTTCCTTATTCTGGTCTGTTCAGGGCAGCCTCCTTTCCTGGTGCTATCTGCAGCTTAAAGGCACTGATAATGCAGCCAAGGATCTTGCAGTAGAAATACTTAAAAATTGTAAGTGCTGGGATTGAATACAGCATTAAATATGGGGCAATACAGGACTTTAAAATGTGATTTTGCAAATTGCAGTATAATTAAGGATCACCAAAGGTTGCCTGAGGCATACTCAGAACTGTCACAGCATTTTTAATCTCTCTAGGAAATAATTAGTAGGCATATTAAGCAACTTGGAGTTTTAGCTGTACTGATAATCTTACGTTGGGAGAATCTTCAGAAAGCATTTCAGAGCTTTTGGGGCCAAACACTGAAAAAAAAACCCCAAACAAACAACAAATAGTTACAGGCTTTCATTTGAACATTTTAATTTCATAGCATCCCATATTTTGGTAAACCCCTGGGTGGTGATATGTGCTTTCTTGGATATTTGTAATAGCAAGAAGTTAGCTAAGAAGCTGGGTACACCTAAGGGGTTTTGTTGGGTTTTTTTAAAATTTTTTTTTGTGGGGGGTTTGTTAGGTTTTTATAATGCAGCAGCTCAGCTTTGAGTTAATTGGGCCAAATACTTAACAAAGGTATAATTTTATGTAAAATTACATCATATTTATGTTATTTGTAGATAAATAAATTTGCTGTGTTCCTGGATTACATTTAAAAATGGAGTAAGGCTGTAGTTAAAAATTCCTACCCTCACTTGTTACTTCAGCTGCATTTCTTAGCAGTGTGTGGAGACTCCTGGATACATGGAGCTTGTTGAAACAATCTTGGAGAGTTTGATGAAATTGCTCATCCCCCATTTGTTCAGTGATATTGTTGATAAGCATGACTTGTTTCCACAATAGAAATATCACAGAAAACTTCTCTGAAGTGTTGGATGTTGCAGCCTTGGGGCAGCAGATCCTTTCCTGCTGTATTTGTCCTTGTGCACATCACCATGTACCTAAATGTTTGATAAAGTGAATTGTGGGAGCAAATCCTTAAGGTAGCTATTAAGGATTCTTTTTTTTCTTTTTTCTCTTTAGATGTGGGCCAGTTCCTGTCAAATATCAGAACAATTTTACAGTCACTCTTATCTCAATATAGTGGCAAAACAATAGTTGAAAAAATAAGTAGCTCTGTCTTTGCTATGGCAACTCGTCAGCTGGTAAGTGACCTGTGGGGTTTATCCTGCTCTGGGAGGCATGGCTGTGAGTCTGCATTTCATGACACCTGTGTTTGCTCCTAGGTCATCTTCTTGTTGGATTTTTGCACTTTAGACATTCCCTACTGTACTCTGCTACAGGGATTCAGCACTTTGATAGAACTACTGAAAAGCCTTTGTAGTGAACCTCATAAGGTAACTAAGGACACAGGCACTATTAAACATTCTGAAACAAAAACAAAATTGCAAGAAAGGCAGAAAACTCAGGTGATTCTGTTGGTGGGCATTGGAGAAGAGCTAGAAAGCTCCTAAAGGTGTAGGATGTGTAATGAAATGTTGAGTGGAGAATGAGAAATATATCTACTGATATGGCAGAGTGGTCAGAAAGTGCAACTGGAATGAGCAGCCTCAAAGGTAGATAGGAAGGAGAGGATTCTGTGGGTGAAGAGGAAAATAAATTAAAAATAGTATATGCTTAACATTTTTAGCTTCACTGCTTGTGGTGATGCAATTAAATCTGTATGTCTGTGGCATAGATGTTTAAATGTGCATTAGTCACCCAGTGTCTCTTCTCTTTGTCATGACTGGAGACTTGGAGTCACTTGTGGGTGAGACAGTCTCCCCCTGGTCTCCTCCTCCAGTGGACTGGCTGGGTTTTGCTTTAGAAGTGCTTCCTTATTTTGATTACCAAGGCTGTCTTCAGAGCTAATTTCTGTCTAAATCAATGCTGTAGCTTTTAAATGCCATTTGTACGTACATCTGGCAACTTAAAAGTATAGACACAAGAATCTAGTGTGGTAATTTATGTTTTTCTTAGCTTTGTATCTAAGAATACATTTTTGTTGTACAGACAGACATGGAAAGCTGGCAGCAGGAGCAGCCTGTAGTATTGAGAACCTGGACAATGGAATCACCTCATAACTATGAAAATAATTGCCATGAGGTCTCAGTCTTCCTGTGTCATGGGGCAATTTACTTTGAGGTGGAATTTGATGAAAAATGTGAAACTGAAAGGAGGTAATTTCATCTTGTGCTGTGTTAAATTCCAGTGCCTTTTTGCAGAGGGGGCAATTCATGTTTCAGTGTTCACTCCACATGTGCCATTTAAATTTCTTCATTGTCCAGAGCAGTACACAATGTGTATTTTTGAATGACCTTGTGCTGAAAGCTACCTCTCCTGGCAAATTAACAGACATGCTGTTCATATGAATTTTGCTTCCTTTGGCCTCGATCTGTTTGACAATAATGCTGTGAACACCACAGTTTGTGCTTGTGGTATTTATTTTGCCCTCATTCTCTTGGTAACACATCATGCTACTGCTTAGTTAAAGCATTTGCCAGATGTTAGATTTGGCATCCATTATCAGCTCCAAAGTTCTGCAGGGTGACAGATCTGTGTTTGCTGAAACTTGTTCATTGAAACATGAAATAAATTTCTTAGCAGTCACATGAAGGTGTGGTTCAGAAAGAAGTGACAAGATGCACTTAGATACAGCACTTGTGAAAGTCCAGAAGCAAAACCATTCTCCCCCAAAACTTAAAAAAGTAAATTTGGAAGTAATGAATTGTAATTTTCACAGGTATGATTACCTGGAGTTTACTGATGCCAGAGGGGCAAAAACTCGTTACGATACAAAGGTTGGCACTGACAAGTGGCCTAAGGTGAGCACCTTTAAAATTATGAACCAAATTATTTACCCAGTCTTGGGAAGTCTTTATGATTCCTGTGGAAAGCTATTATGTAAAAGAATGTGTACTTTTGTTCATGGGTGTGTTTAGTAGGTTTCTTAGGTGGGGGGCAGGAGATGGGGAAGAAAGTCTAAAATGTTGCAAATAAAAGGAGTGAATGACTAAAGAATCCCTCTTTACTCCTGTTATCAAAAGAACAATCAAAGTGAAAAGGAATAATCATGTTTAACTGCCAGTAATAGATGGGTAAAACTTGCTCTGCCCTTGCAAGTTTTTATATCACAGGACAAGTGTGGTCCTTCCTGAGGCTGTGCTCTGTCCTCAAATGGGATTCTGCTCTTCTGTTTTTGTGGCTCTGACTTTTAATATAAAATTGCTCATTAAGCTCTTGCATAGAAATTTTACCTGCTTAGCATTGTGGGTTTCTCATTGAGATGGTGGGGGAAATTAGATCTGTTATGGCCAGGATATAATACTGAAACCCCAGAGTTGCTGAAGGGAATTCATTACCCTGAAACGTTTTCCTGTCATGTACATTTGGCAAAATGACTGTTTTGTTGCTCTGTAGAAAGTGACCTTTAAGGCTGGCCCACGGCTGCAGTTTCTCTTTCACTCTGACAGCAGTAATAATGAGTGGGGCTACAAGTTTTCCGTCACTGCTTACGGCCTCCCAGACGTTGCCGTGTCTTGGGGCTTGGATTTACAGCTGCTTGTCTCCAGGCTGATGGGGCGCTTGGCTTCCCGGAGCATGGCCCTCAAATCCCTGCGAGGTGAGTGCTCCACTGCTCCATCCCTGCAGAGAGGAGCTGCAGGGGCTTGGTGTTGAGGATCCCCTGTGAAAATGGGGTTCCTTTTGTATTTTGCGCACGTGAACGTGGAAGACTTGGTGTGTTCCAGCCCTTGGAAGGCTTGGCGTGCTCCAAGCCCACGGAAGGCTTGGCGTGCTCCAAGCCCACGGAAGGCTTGGCGTGCTCCAAGCCCACGGAAGGCTTGGCGTGCTCCAAGCCCACGGAAGGCTTGGCGTGCTCCAAGCCCACGGAAGGCTTGGCGTGCTCCAAGCCCATTGAAGGCTTGGCGTGCTCCAAGCCCTTGGAAGACTTGCCGTGCTCCAAGCCCTTGGAAGGCTTGGCGAGCTCCAAGCCCGCGGAAGGCTTGCCGTGCTCCAAGCCCTTGGAAGGCTTGGCGAGCTCCAAGCCCACAGAAGGCTTGGCGTGTTCCAGTCCACGGAAGGCTTGGCGTGCTCCAAGCCCGCGGAAGGCTTGGCGTGCTCCAAGCCCACGGAAGGCTCGGTGTGTCACTGAAGGGGTATCAGGGACAGACAAAGGTGATACAGAGACTCCATCATCAGAAGGCATGAAAAGCATTTTATTATTAGAAATCCACAGTTTTTACAGAAACAATGGTGGACCTAAGACCTGATTGGCCTTTAGGAATCTTCTCTCACCTATTGGTCAAGAAGGGACAGCTCCTTCTTGTAAACATCTTTGACAAACAGAGATTGCCTGGAAGGTGCGGAGATTGAGATTATAATTGTTTTAATTCTTTCTCTGAGCTTTCTCACAGCTTCCCAGGAAAATCCTGGGACAGCTATGTCTCTGTTCAGAGGATATGTGATTACCACATTGCTGTGTTGCTACATTTATAAAATAGTATGTTCTTTTTTTTTCTTTTTCCATTTAAAATTGTTCCTTGGTGCTGTCATCCACCCCACATTGGGAGTGTGAAATATGGAGCCAACAAACTAAAAAAATTATAGGGCTTAGGACACAAAGGATTCTACCAGGTGTAGAGATTGAGATTATAATTGTTTTAATTCTTTCTCTGAGCTTTCTCACAGCTTCCCAGGAAAATCCTGGGACAGCTATGTCTCTGTTCAGAGGATATGTGATTACCACATCGCTGTGTTGCAAGTCCGTGGAAGACATGGACATGTGGAAGTAATCCTAATAAGCTAAATTACATTTATGAAGTAGTATGTTCTTTTTTTTTCTTTTTCCATTTAAAATTATTCCCTGGTGCTGTCATCCACCCTACATTGGGAGTGTGAATATGGAGCCAACAAACTTAAAAAATTGCAGGGCTTAGGACACAAAGGATTCTAGTTTCACATGAGCATTTGGTATTGAATGAAATTTGAAGTCACAAATTAAGTTTGATTAATTATAGTAGTTAAGTACAGTTAGGATTTTGACCTTGAAGATAAGTACATGAAATTTTGATAAATAATTTTTTAAAAATTTATTGTTTAATTTGAAAGCAAAAACACTTTTCTCTAACTTCCTAAATCTGAATCCATCCACCACTTAGGAGAAATTAAATAAGGCTGAAGAGTTCTTGCTCCAGTCAGGTGGTCCATATTTACCTTGGAATATTAGACAGCTATATAGTAGTTAAGTACAGTTAGGATTTTGACCTTGAAGATAAGTACATGAAATTTTGATAAATAATTTTTTAAAAATTTATTGTTTAATTTGAAAGCAAAAACACTTTTCTCTAACTTCCTAAATCTGAATCCATCCACCACTTAGGAGAAGTTAAATAAGGCTAAAGAGTTCTTGCTCCAGTGAGGTGGTCCATATTTACCTTGGAAAATTAGACAACTGTTTATGTGTGAATTCAGGGAACTAGTTGAAGTGTTTGAGAATATTTTCTTCCTTTTTAATTATAAGCATGCTTGCATATAACAAATTAGATGCTTAGTAGGAGAGATAGCTTTTAAATCAGAGGATTTCTGTAGTTATACAGTGAAAATGTTTGATTTAAAGTCCTTCACTGTAGCATATTGATTGTCACTATAAGATTTTGATGCAGCCATTAATGACAGGGTACATCAGTTTTCTGTACCATGTTAGAAAAGTAGAGAACATTGGTAAATTACTTGTTCAGTCTATTTGCATTAACTTTTTTGTTGTGAGTTTGTTTCAGTTTTTTTTCCCTACTGGTTGTTTAACATTTATTGTTTTCACTAATCTGTAAAAATGAAGAAAATTATTTAGTAACTGAAGGGTCTGTTCTGAATTTCTTGCAGAATTAGGTAGTGAAGCAGACTTGCCTCCTTTGAAAGTAACATCGGTTCTTAATTCTCCTCTGTGGAAACCTGTCTTCAGGCATCAGCTGTGTCCTGAGGCACTCCCGGGAGCCAGGCAAAACAGTGCCAAGCACCAAGACAAAAACGAGGTACCCACTCACTGCTTGTGTCCCCTTGGCATGGAATCCCTGTGCATCACACAGGTTCATTGGCTTGATGGAGCTGGAATGCCCTTAAGCACCCTGCTGTGCTAAACTTGAGTCATTTGTGCTGCTGGATTCAAATACCAAGGGGGAAAGAAACTCTTGTTCTGTGCCCTTTATTAATTTCCATTTTCATGGAATCATGAAATGGTTTGGAGAGACTTTCAAAGATCATCTCATTCACCCCCCACCTGGTGCAGGGATGTCTTTTATTGTTCACTTTGCTCAGCTGCAGGGATAAACTGCAGGCTGCTTTAGGATTGCACTCATGGTTTTCTCTCAGGCAGCACTGCAGTTCTGTGTTGTTCCCTTCCTGCAGGCTTGGAGCTCTCCCCACGACGTCTGCCGTAACTTTCTTATCGACTTTGCAAAATCAGATCCTGCCCAGGACTTCAGTGGGCAAAAATCTGAACTTTTCAAAGGACTCATACAGGCATGTAAAAAACAGACCCCAAAGACAGATATAGTTGCTGGTCCTACTGTTGATCAAGCTGTGAACTCAACATTTGCTGCTTTGGTGTATCTCACTCCAGATTTATTTGAGAAGCTTCAAAAATATGGTAACTCTAATATTATTAGATTATCTTAATAATGAAGACTTACAATTTGTAAAAGGCTCTCTTACAGCTGACTTTATAACATTTAAAAATCAGTTCAGTGGGGCAATTTAAAGAAGATGTGTTGAAAGTTATCATTTAGGCAGACTAGGTAAGCTTTCTCTCTAGAGTGTTTCTTTTTTAGTAACATATGTTTTTGTCTTCAGAGCACTGGCAAAATAATAATCATCAGAAGTTCTAATTCTGTAAAGCTATACCTAAAGAGAATAGTGATGTCCTCTGGGGCTTTAATTCAGAACAGTGTGGCTCCAGTTATTAGAGGTTCTTGGATCATTTTCTACATTGTACCTTTTCTAAAAAGCCACCAGCAACTTCTGTTATGAACTGTTGGGGCTGGAGGAGGTGTGAATTATCTCCCAAAATACCATTGTGTGGAAATCAGCCCTGCCAGCCTCAGAATTTTTTTTTTTCAATAGAAAATAATGTTTTGATTTTAACTTTACTGGCCATTGTATTGCAATTTATGTATTTTTCAGTAGGTAAAATGAACAACTTTTTGACTTAGAGCATCCTTCCATTAAGTTTATTGATATGTTTGAAGTATTGGATAATAAGATGTTACTTGGTTTTGAAGGATTTCATTTTAGGTTTTCACTTTTTGTCATAATTTTGACACTAAACATTTTACATTTTCATAGAATGATTGAGCTATTTTTTGAGCTGTGAAGTTATGAGTAAAAATGACTGACACAAAGACTGATCTGATGACTAATGTGGTTACTGCCTTTAGTCATTTTGTCTATGTCTGACAATTGAGCTAATTTTCTGAGTGACATTGAGAACTGGACAAATATTAATGAGTCTTTGAGAAATCCATCCCTCTGTTCTGTCAGTATCTTCATCTGCTGGTCCTGCTGGGGCAGACTAATTTCAGGACCTGTGTTCACCTGTGCTGTGGGAAGTTTGGAGAAGGGATGCTGAAAAGAATACAGGAGAAAAAATAGAAAGGGAGAATGAAAGAGAGACTGAATGTCTTTTTGTCCATAGTCATTGTCAGGGCAGTTTGAATAGAAACTGATTTGTCAGGTTTTTAATTTTTGCAAATTGATTTTGAAAGTCCATTCTAGAAATTCATAGTATAAAACAGTAGAGAAAACCAATACATCTATAGAGCTTTAAGTTCCTGCTAAGCATTTGTTGATTTTTGTGATAAGTTTACATCAGTGTTATTGCATGCATAGGGGAGGGTTTTATTTTCCATGGCTTCAGGCATCAATTTTGGGAAGAGAAGAGAAAGATACTGGTAAATTAACTTTGTAAATAAATCAGTCAAGGTGCAGTTTGTGTATTTAGGACATATGAAAGTTGGCATGTTTATTCTCTATTTTTCTTACAGGTATAATTCCAAGTATTGACTAAGAGATGAAGGGAAAGCTGTAGTATAATTTTAGTTAAGCAGTTGTATAAAAATGGAGCTGTAAATAAACAGGACTCTCTTCTTTCTCTCGTTTCCAGTCAACAGTGGAGGCAAGGTGCCTTTGAGTGATGAGTTTGCACAAGTATATTCCCTGGCTGATTCCATTAGAATATGGATGGTAAGAACACTCAGGAGGATCTCTATTAATGTCATTTACTTTAGTACTTTACAATGCAATGTTAAGGAGTGGGATGGAACAGTTTTTTCTTCAATTATTCTACATCAACTATTTTCACTTGGAAAGAATATATGTTAACTTTGAAACTTTGGACTTAAATGTTTAATTGCATCCTTACACTCCTCTCCTTTCTTCAGCCCCAGATGTGTCATCATGGGTAGTTAGGACTGAATTTGACTGAAAGTCAATTAAATTTGTGTTATATTTTAGCAAGACCTTATGTTGTAAATTAGGAAGATTCTTACATTGCAGTTGGAGTTCTTTTGAGGTGTAACATAGAAAGAAGTGTGTCTTAGACATCAATCCATTGTCTTGTGACTTTCTTCCTCCTCTTTTCTGCCTCAGAATTCCTGGCAGGTTGGTGTACTAGAGTTCCAGTGGGTGCAGGTGCATGTTAAGATGAGTAATTGCCTTTACCCATTGCATGGCAGGTGATGTTTGCATCTGACAGACCTTGCTAGGGGGGTGACATATTTTTGGAGGACTTTATCTCACAACTAGATGTCTACATTTTCCTAAATGCTGAGGGTAAATGAGAAACCTTCTTTTCCTTGGAGGACTGGTGCACATCAATTCACAAGACAGGGAATGGCCTCAGCCTACATAGCTGAAGCAGCTCAGGGTGAGGCTGGTACTGCTCTGACAGTTCAGGTGCTGCTCCTTTAGGCTCCTGGGTGGTTTGCTCTGCAAAGCTGGGAATAGTCAGGCATCAATTTTGGGAAGAGAAGAGAAAGATACTGGTAAATTAACTTTGTAAATAAATCAGTCAAGGTGCAGTTTGTGTATTTAGGACATATGAAAGTTGGCATGTTTATTCTCTATTTTTCTTACAGGTATAATTCCAAGTATTGACTAAGAGATGAAGGGAAAGCTGTAGTATAATTTTAGTTAAGCAGTTGTATAAAAATGGAGCTGTAAATAAATAGGACTCTCTTCTTTCTCTCGTTTCCAGTCAACAGTGGAGGCAAGGTGCCTTTGAGTGATGAGTTTGCACAAGTATATTCCCTGGCTGATTCCATTAGAATATGGATGGTAAGAACACTCAGGAGGATCTCTATTAATGTCATTTACTTTAGTACTTTACAATGCAATGTTAAGGAGTGGGATGGAACAGTTTTTTCTTCAATTATTCTACATCAACTATTTTCACTTGGAAAGAATATATGTTAACTTTGAAACTTTGGACTTAAATGTTTAATTGCATCCTTACACTCCTCTCCTTTCTTCAGCCCCAGATGTGTCATCATGGGTAGTTAGGACTGAATTTGACTGAAAGTCAATTAAATTTGTGTTATATTTTAGCAAGACCTTATGTTGTAAATTAGGAAGATTCTTACATTGCAGTTGGAGTTCTTTTCAGGTATATATAGAAAGAAGTGTGTCTTAGACATCAATCCATTGTCTTGTGACTTTCTCCCTCCTCTTTTCTGCCTCAGAATTCCTGGCAGGTTGGTGTACTAGAGTTCCAGTGGGTGCAGGTGCATGTTAAGATGAGTAATTGCCTTTACCCATTGCATGGCAGGTGATGTTTGCATCTGACAGAGCTTGCTAGGAGGGGTGACATATTTTTGGAGGACTTTATCTCACAACTAGATGTCTACATTTTCCTAAATGCTGAGGGTAAATGAGAAACCTTCTTTTCCTTGGAGGACTGGTGCACATCAATTCACAAGACAGGGAATGGCCTCAGCCTACAAAGCTGAAGCAGCTCAGCGTGAGGCTGGTACTGCTCTGACAGTTCAGGTGCTGCTCCTTTAGGCTCCTGGGTGGTTTGCTCTGCAAAGCTGGGAATAGTAACTACAGTCTTCTATTCCTGAGATTAAATTCCTTTCAATCATTACAGTCTTCATCCTGCCTTGCTGTATAGAGGCACAGAGAGAATCATATTTTAACTATATTAACATCCTGTCTGCAGTTGGAAATGAAGCAGAAATCTCTGATGGGGAGGGGAAATGATGCTGAAGAGAAGCAGAACACAGAAGCAAGTGAGGTGAACCCAGAAACTCTCGGTGAGTGTTGCCTTGTATGTTTGAGCATTCCAGGTAGCTTAGGAAGGCATTGTAAACCTGAAGGCATTATTTTTGCTGTGAAAGGTAAGTTAGCAACTGGGTTTAGTTTTTTGTACCTTAAGAGGTAACCTAGTGTACATTGGATTAATTATCTGGGATTGTGTTCTGTCAGTCTCTGCAGAAAACAGTAGGAAAATTCTGCAGGGAGTGACCTTTCACTTGGGTCACCTGCTTTTGAATTTATGTTCATCTGTTTTTGTAGATACTCCTTACCCCATTTAACTGATGTTAGAACAGCAGCTGATTGTTATTAGAACAAAATGTGTTCTCACTGACTTCTCTGTACTTCATATGGTTCAGTGTCATTATTCAGAATTGGCATTTGGAAATCTGAACTTCAGCAACTGGTACCATCATGATCAATATAACAAGAAAAACCAGTATTTTCTAGCTGTCTCAAATAAGAAATAAGATAAATCACTTTCTTCCTAACCATAAGACAGCAAATTTGCTGTTCTATTGTCTTGATTTTAACTCTTCCAATTTTTATGCTGCAGCAAAACTCTGTGTGCAGAAGAGCCTTTTGTTACTGAATTTTTTGCCCGTAAGAGCAAAGAGAAAAGATTCTGCCTCAGAGAGTTTGGAAGGCCAAGACATGGATGATCCCCAGCAGTATGTTAGTGATCAATGCCAAAGACAAGGGTCAGCTGTGGACATGGACTTCCAGGCAGCCCCATCAGTGTCGTCCAGTGCAGGAATTCACCCTGTTTCAAAAGAGGGGGGTCAGGCATCACAGTCTGATCTGAAAGTTAAACAAATTCCAGACCTCCACCAAGCAGAAGCTGCATCTGCATTTCATAGTAAGCCTGTTGAAAGTACAGTTTCACAGCAAGAAGATGTGTCATCACCTCCTTCCACTCCTACCCGCAAGTCTCAGCTGGGCCGTGGGAGACTGAGGCTGCTGTCCTTCAGGTCCATGGAGGAGCCAAGACCTGTGCCCACTGTGAAGGAAAAATATCCTATTTTGAAGAGCATATTAGACTTTATTAAGGATCAATCACTTTCACATGAAAGGTGAGCAAATTGAGAATGTTGTCAGTTATACAGAAGCTTGTGTTCACACCTCTTCAGGTGGAATAAAATATTTTAGCAGCAAAATAATATGGCAGAGTATTTTGTATACAAACAGTTGTCAGGCTTATTTATCAAACTTCAGTTATTCACAAGGATGTAAGGACTCAGTACTATTTCATTTCATTTGCTTCTGTCACATAGAGCAGAATGTAAAAAAGTCACTTGGCAATTTATTGTCTTGCTTCCTCAGATGTGTTTGCAGAGGCGTTTTGCTTTTTGTCTACAAAAGCAGGGATATAGTGTATCACTATTACCAATCCTTGGTACCAAATAGAGACAAGTTGCATCTCTTATTAAATTACCTGGTGTTCTGAAAACAAATCAAAAGAGAGATTTCCAATTCTGAGCTTGCCTGTTTTGGAGTGGTGCAGGAAGAGCTGGATTCTGTTCGAAGCTTTATCACTCACTCCAACTAATACAAAGCAATAGTGTAACTAGTCAAACACTTCTTGAATTGTTCTTTGTGTTGTTTTAAGCACAGTGTTTTGAAGTTTTCACTGATATTTTTTTTCTTTCAGTGTTTTAAAGGTTCTTGCTTTGAGAAAATCCCAAGGGCAGAGTATTTTGGAAGTGCTCAAGACCATCCGCCAGTGCCTGGACTCACTTGGGCAGCCACACTGCTTTCACCCACCCTGTGTGCTTTTTCTCCTTGAACTTCTGGCCTGTCAGAAAGATTTTACAAAGTAAGTAATTATTCAGGCAAATCTCAGCCATGTGATTTACTGTCTTAGTTCTTGTGTTACTCCAGCATGTATATTGACAAGAGTAGAAAGTTCTGATTTTTAATCCATGTGGATAATAAAAATATGACTTGAAGTTAGTTTTCAGGCTATTAGGCATATCTTGTGTTCTTCATTAAAAAAAAAACAAACCAGAAATTAATAATTATTTTCAAGTAGGACTTAACTGCACAGCTGTTCATGCCATGAACATGTTTAGCTCTGATTTCTATGTTGTGTCTGGCCAGTGCTGTCACAGCTCTGTCTCTTGGCTTCTCAATTGTCAGGAGCTTTCTGTGGTCACCTTGCAATGCACTGACTTCCTTTAAGATCTTGATTAGATTTTCATAAAGCAACTTTTAATTCCTTTTTAATTTAAAGGAATGTTCTCTTCTTAGTGCTATGAGAATATTCTCTTTGCCTGTTCCATTTCTTCACTTCTGATTCCTGGTACAGGATTCTTTCATTTTTGTTTGAAACTTCTAGACTGCATTTTTAAATAAAACTAACATCCTTCACACTTGTGGAGAGGGGTTAAAAAGGGCCTGTTTGTAAAATTTGCACACATCATGCTACCTAAAATACCACAATGAATACTAGGCTACTAAAATAACTCTTTAATTTGCAGCTACTTTGGAAACTTGGAAGGCTGTGGGGCTGAGCTACACAAGGAGATTCGAGAGTCCTACTATAAGCTTGTTTTGTTCCTGGTAAATTCTGTGAAGGGATTTAGTACAATTAATGACAGGTACAGTACCTTGTTTGCTTTATTTATGTGATTTTTTTATTTATTTTTTGCATTCCTCCGCACCTCCTCTTTGTAATTTTTTATTTGTCATTTAATGTCTTCATTAGTTTTGTCTGTACTTTCCATTCTTTACAGAACTAAATGAGGAGCCTTGATCTTGTGATCAAAAATGCCAAGTTGGCTTTTTATTACTAAAGGAATAAAGGAAAGCACAAAAAGTTATCAGTGTTAAAAACTTGACTTACTGCATTTTGTAGTTACAATTCTGCAGTGTGTCTCTGAACTTAGTAGCAAAATACTAGAAATAGTAAATTTATCATGGAATATTTGGTCAAGAGTAATGCCACAAAAAACATGGCAATTCTGCAGCCATGCTTTAATGTTAAAACTCATGTTTTGGCAACATTCTGGTTAGAATTTGGAGTATTTATAGCCAGGTGTCCTAGAGAAATGAGAATTTTATGGCTATAATGGCAGTCTCTCTGACAATAACTTTCAAGTCCTTTGTTCAGTTTCAATTGAAAATGGCAAAAAGGTTTCAAGCAGAATAAATTCTGGCAAATACCAAGAAAATGCTGTACTGTAGAGAAGAGACAAACCCTCCTTCTAATGCTCAGACAACACCATTACCTTGATCTTAACTGAATCCAGAAGGAAAACTGTTTTTCTTTCAAATTCTATAATGTGTACTTGATAAATTGTGTAAGTTGAATACTTTGATAAACCTGAGTTCCTGCCAGAGTTACTTTAATGCATAGTAAAGCCTGAAAATCAGTGTGTAGGGGTTTTTCTACCCTTCCTCTGTACTGTAGAGAAGAGACAAACCCTCCTTCTAATGCTCAGACAACACCATTACCTTGATCTTAACTGAATCCAGAAGGAAAACTGTTTTTCTTTCAAATTCTATAATGTGTACTTGATAAATTGTGTAAGTTGAATACTTACCTGAGTTCCTGCCACAGAGTTACTTTAATGCATAGTAAAGCCTGAAAATCAGTGTGTAGGGGTTTTTCTACCCTTCCTCTCCATACACAACTCTAGGTCTGTCAGCTTTAGGTCAGCTTTAGAACTGTTGTGTTTTAATGTCTTTTGTTTTTATTTAGGTCGTTGCTTCCTGCCTTATCCTGTGTGCAGACAGCTCTCCTGCACCTCTTGGACATGAGCTGGGAGCCCAGTGATCTTTCTTTCTTTGTTGAGATCCAGCTGCCACATCTTCTCATGACAACATCACAGGAGAACATCAGTATCCATGACAGTGTCATTTGGTGAGTCAGGAGGAATGCAGCCTTCATATGCTGTTAAATATTCATTCAGTTTTACCCAGGAGGGTTTCTGAACTTCGTGCTGGAACAAGCAGTAAGGGTACTATTAACAAGTATGGCATAATTCTGGTCAGTATCTGTTATAAATAAAAAATGCGAATTAGCCAATTTTAATAAAAATATGAAAAATAAAATTTATTCCGTGACCATAAAAACAGTCTCTAGAGCCACCACTATTACTTTCAATCTGCTCTTCAAATTGTGTTAATACCTTTGCTGCCCTTTTACTTGAGGAGTCTTCCTCCAGTTTCATGATTTTTGAAACTGGGTTGCCTTTTACTGCCAATTCGGGATCTATGGGCATAGCCGCAATCTGCATCTCTGATCACTCTGTTTAAAAGGTAAATTGGGGTGCGGTAACCCCAGCTACCATCCTGAGCCTAGATAGCGGGCTCATAATATTCAATAATGCGTTCTCATTTCTGATTCCTGCCTCTTTAATTCTGGAGCGACTTGTTTGATTTTACTTTCAGGGTCCACTCTTTTATTCAGGGAAAAACAAAAGGTTTTATTATATTTGAGGCAGGCTTGGTTATCAGGGTAAACTGATGATAACTGGTTCTCTTCTTAAAGGGATCTTATTCTCAGTCCAGATTTTTACTTCCTCAATATGTTTTCCTTTCATTGTATACATCTTCAACTACTTATTCACTTGGTAATAACTTACAAAAATTGATTCCATTCTCCCCCCCCCCCCCGCCCCCCCCCCCACACTACCCTTTTCCCCCCATTTCTAAAGGGATCTTATTCTTATGTTTCAGATTCTTACTTCTTCAATATGTTTTCCCCTTGTTGTACACATCTTCAACTGTTTGTTTGCATAACACCACTTACTCACTTGGTAATAACTTACAAAAATTGATTCCCTTCCCCCCCCCCCCCCAGTCCACACAGTACAATTACACTTTATCTCATACAGCAATCTTTAATATGTTTTAAGTGGGTTGACTTACCCATTCTGGACTCTGCCCCTTGCGAGATACAGATTTCCTGCCCCTCTCTTATATAAGCTCTGTATCAAGTGCTATTTATTTAACTGCTGAAATTTTTGGGCTCCATACTGAATCTTTCTCCTCAGTCTTTTTTTAAGAACTTAAACTACAATATTGAGTCTGCTTCGATTACTCGCAGTTCTGTGAGGAGCGTCAAGCATAGGTTAGTCAGACATACTTTAGTGGCTAAAACAATTCTCATACAGACCTCTGGGTTTCACCCCCCTCTTTTTCTTCCTAGATTTTCCAAGGGTGTGAACTACCCTAAAGGCATAGTTTTTGTCTGTGTACCAAATAGGTTAGGTGAGTCTACAAATCCCTGGGGCAGAGGGGGTCCACTGGAGTTGCTGCTTACAATTTGTCTCCAGATCTTCTTGTTGAAAGGCAGAATAATTTCAGTGTTTCTCTGCCAGAGGGTAAGTCTAAAAAGCATCTTTCAGATCAATTACACTACATAAACACTCCTTATTGTTATTCTTTCTTGCAAGATCTAGGATAACAGATTTGTTATGTGCACATTTACTTTTATACTTTAGATTCTTTCTTACCTAGTAAGTTTTCTTTCATTGCACACATTTTGAATTTATTATTATAACATAGGTTATTAACTTGGAGATACGCTTCTAAATACTGACTCTACATTTCATTTATCCTATATTTTTCTATTACATTGATTGCACACAGGAATAAAGGTTTCCCCACATCTTGTTTGTATAATTTGTAGGTGTGAGCCTCTGACTGCTGGTCCTTAGATATTGCTTTTTGGTATACTGTATGTTATCTTTTTCACCTATGTTACAGATTTCATACTGCGTGATGTTTATACAGTGTTTTTGTTTTTGTTTTTCCCTAGTAGCAGCTTCCTGGGGTGGGGGTGCTGATATTTCTGCCTTTTTAATGCCGGGCAGAGCTCAAGCCCATTATAGTTACCCACAGGTGTATTCCTCTGCCTTTGCCACGCCCACTGGGTTGCTGCCAGTGGCGGGATAGTTATCTTCATGGCAGCAAGAATGTCCTTCCAGGGTTTCAGGTCTGGACTGAGCTGTATATCGCCTCTTAAAGGCACTCCAGCACTCCCCCTTTAACAATTTTGACTATATCAGCTTTGCAGGTTATGTTATTTGACCTCTGGTATTCAATAGTTAACATTTGAACCTTTTGAGTCTAATCTTTTTCCTTATTCCCCCTTGAAACAAGTGATACTAATTCAGGAAATCCAATTATTATTAGGCTTAATTCAGTAGCAAGCTCTAAGATACGGCTAGTCAGATATTACTCATCTTTTATACATTCATTTTCTTTTAGCCAATTTCCAGGCAAATCGTTTTTGACACTCTTTGACTGTATTTTCCCACAGTTTTTCAGGTATTTCCCATGTAACAGGAACTAATAATTTTTTATCCACAAAATAAAGTTATTATTTCTGCTGTCGCATGTTCCATCTGGATAGGGGACCTACTTGTCCCCCGACACTCCTAGCAATACGAACATCTTTTGTGTGAACTGCAATACCAATTTCTCCCACAATTTAAACATTTACATTTTACCCAACTAGCATGCCCAGTTTGGATGGGTCAAGCAGGGTATATTATGAGGCACTGATTTAGGTTGTAACTCTCCCTCCTCTTTGTATAAATCACAGGCTAAGGCAAAAATACTAGAATTTCCTGTCCGAAATAGTCCAGATCCCCCTGTTTGTGATGGCACAGTCTCTTGCCAAGGTGGATACCGAAGGCATTTTAAAGTCTGTCCAGGCAGTACTTGAAACCAACCGCTGATATAAGCTTGGTCTCACTTCCCAGTCAGGTGTGATCCTGCATGTGTTTTCCCAATTCATTATTACCCTTTTACCACTTAGTTCAGTTGTCCTCAACTACTTCTCAGGTTGTCTTACGGTTCTTCTTGATTGAAGAGGATCCACTCTTATTTCTTGGTCTGGCTTAGTTATATTCATAAATGTTGCCTGGAAATGATCTTAAAAAGATAGACTAAAGATATGTAGAAGGATTATTATTTCTATTTAAAGTTCTTAGTCTTAACCCGCTTTTTCTTTGCCTCATAGGTACCATGTTCAAAAAAAAAATGTATCTTCAACTTTTATTTCACAAGGTGATGACCCTAGGCTTAAATCATATATTGTACTCCATTTCTTGAACTTGAGGAAGTTTCATCTGTACACTTGCATACAAGCTCTTTTGGCTTATATTCTTCTTGCAATAGGTAACCCAAATCTCATGACAGTTTTTTTACAGATCGATAATATTTGCAACCAGTTACTTATGCAATTTATATTTTATCTTACTTCAAATTTTCCTCTAATATTCTTTGCAACTTGAATCTAATTTGTATTTCATAATATTCTCTTAATAAGTTTGAATATTACAATCTGAATATTTCACTGTTCTTCTCAAACATGTATTTAAATTTTATTAATTTTACATGATGTAGCTTTCCTTCTTACACACTGAAGGTGGTGTTAAATTTTCTTCTCTTGCTTAAGTATAATTAATTTTCCAATATACTACCAGCTTATTCCCAAAACACTGACCATACTAAACACAGCACAACTTTAACAATTAGAGACAGATGGAGACTGGTTCAACACACATTAGTTATAGGCCACAATACACTTTGGATTTTAAACATATTTCTATGAAGCTTTTTATCTAACATTATACAATGACTTTAAATGTCTCTTACTTTTAGTAACTTTTATTTTCAATGTTAATTGCTCAATTCCTTTTGTAAACCACTAGAATTCAAACTTAACTCTTTAATACCTCAGAGCTATTTAAAATGTCTCTAAAAAGCTTTTAACACTCACTCCTTTTCAAGATTTAAAAAAAAACCTTCAGAGGGAAAAAAAAACTCCCAAAAACTTTCAGGAATCTCACAGGGTCTCTCTCTTTTTCTAAACTCCACCAAAACTGTATGCTATTCCCAGATGCGTGCACTTAGCTGGAAATACATTCTCCATAAACCATCATTTCATACCTTTTATTTCCATTTACCTTTTCCAGAGAAGTTTCTTAATTTCAAACAAAAAAACTATAACTTTCATGATTCCAAACCATTCAGATATATTTTTTTTTCTAAAGCTTCTTCTATGGTTTTTTTCCACAAACTTAAAGAAAACTCTTTAAAAATTAACTTTTTGGCAGATTTATACATTTTTCAATTACCTCCTTTTGTTATTCTTAATTTACCCACAGTTTCTGAGACTATAATTACACAAAACTTGGGTTTTCTGGTTTCTGTTCCCCTAATGTCTTAAAAGGATTTAATTTCTTTTTCTTTCTATTATACACTCCTTTAATTCTTACACTGCTTACAACATCGGCTTGCATGCTCTGCTTATAGCATATTAAACACTCCTGCAGTTATTAGATCTCTCGAGGCAGAACCATAACTTCTGCCACCTGG